AAAGGTTTTAAAGTATTTTTTGAAGATAATTAATGCTTAATCAAGGATACTACAGGTCAAGATCTGTTTAAGGTGAAAATGAGAGGCAAAAGCTTCTCACTAGATCCAACTCAGGAGGAGCACGTAGTTTTTTCAGCAAAAGAAAATGTTGCTGAGTTATTGCACAAGAGGCTTGGGCATTATCACTATCAAGGGCTTCTCAAATTACAAAAATCTAAAATGGTAAGGGACTTACCTGATTTCGAAGTAATCTCTACAGATTGTCATGCTTGTCAATATGGGAAGCAACACAGACTTCCATTCCCAACAGCCACTTGGAGAGCCACAACGAAGTTGCAGCTAATTCACACTTATGTGGGAGGGCCTCAAAGGACTCTTTCCCTTAAAGGTAGTCGTTATTACATTATTTTTGTAGACGATCTAACCCGCATATGCTGGATTTATTTTCTAAAATTCAAATCACAGGTTGGGAACGTTTTTTGGAAGTTCAAAGCAAAGGTGAAAAATGAGAGTGGCTGTAAAATTCAGACTTTAAGGTCTGATAATGGCACAGAGTACACTTCACATCAATTTAATTCATTTTGTGAGGAAGCAGGAATTGAACGTCAACTTACAGCTCCTTATACTCCAGAACAAAATGGAGTCAGCGAGAGAAGAAACATATTTATTATTGAGATGGCTAGATGCATGTTGCATGAAAAAAATATGCCAAAGAAATTCTGGGCAGAGGCAGCAAATACAGCTGTGTTCTTGCAAAATAGACTTCCCACAAAGGCAATGAATAATAAAACTCCTTTTGAAGCATGGTATGGGTACAAACCTCAAATGCATTTTATTAAAGTGTTTGGTTGTCTTTATTTTACTTATGTTCCCCAGGTTAAACGAGATAAACTAGACAAAAAGGCTGTTGCAGGAATTTTCATTGGTTATAGTGCAATGTCAAAGGCTTATAAAGTCTTCCAATTTGAAACTGAAACTGAAACTGTAACTATCAGTAGAGATGTGCACTTCATAAAAAATGAAGAGTGGGACTGGAAAGATTCAAAAAATTCTATGCCAAAGACAAGCTCGTGGCTAGATGAAAGGGAGGATGATCCACCTGTCAGAGGCACTCGATTGCTCTCTGAAATATATCAAAGATGCAATGTTGCAGTATGCGAACCTGCTAATCATGAAGAAGCTCTCAAAGACCCCAAATGGAAAAATGCAATGAAGGAGGAGCTGTTTATGATTGAGAAGAACAAAACTTGGGAGCTTGTTGATAAACCCCAAGGCAGAAAGGTAATTGGGGTGAAATGGGTATTTAGAACCAAATTAAATGCTGATGGTTCAATCAATAAGCATAAAGCAAGGCTTGTAGTTAAGGGGTATGCATAGATTTTTTGTGTTGATTATTCTGACACATTTGCACCAGTTGCTAGGCTTGATGCAATCAGGCTACTTCTTGCTATTTATGCACAATTTGGCTGGAAAGTGCATCAGATGGATGTCAAATCAGCATTCCTTAATGGGATCCTTGAAGAGAAAATTTATGTTGAGCAACCGGAAGGTTTCATTGTGGAAGGCAAAGAAGACAAAGTCTATCAATTACATAAAGCTCTTTACGGCCTAAAACAGCCCCCAAGAGCTTGGTATAGTCGAATAGATGATTATTTGCTTGGTCTTGGTTTTAAAAAAAGTCTTTCAGAATCCACACTTTATGTTAAACACAATAGCAATGATATTCTTGTTATTTCTCTTTATGTGGATGACCTCTTGATTACTGGGAGCAATACAAAGCTTATTGATGAGTTTAAACTAGATATGATGCAGGCATTTGAAATGACTGATCTTGGTCTGATGACATATTTTCTTGGAATGGAGATTAATCAAGGAAAAGACCAGGTTTTCATTTGTCAAAAGAAGTATGCAAAGGAGATTCTGAAAAAATTTAAAATGGAGAATTGCAAAGAGACAAATACTCCCATGAATCAAAAGGAGAAGCTATGCAAGGAAGATGGTACAAATAAAGCAAATGAAGGACATTTTAGAAGTTTAATTGGTTGCTTGATGTATCTTACAGCAACTCGTCCTGACATTATGAATGCTGTAAATATTTTGTCTCGGTTTATGCACTGTGCAAGTGAACTCCATTTCCAGGCTGCAAAAAGAGTGATTCGATATGTGAAAGGCACAAGTGGTTTTGGTGTTAAATTCATAAGGAGCAAGGAGTTTAACCTGGTTGGTTTCTCTGATAGTGACTGGGGAGGTTCTGTTGATGATATGAGGAGCACTTCAGGCTACTGTTTTACAATTGGATCTGCTGTTTTCTCGTGGAACTCGAAGAAGCAAGAAACTGTGGCTTAATCCACTGCTGAGGCAGGGTTCGTTGCTGCAACAACTGCTGTTAATCAAGCTGTATGGCTGAGGAAGATTTTAATTGATCTTAATCTAGAGCAGAAAGAAAGTACAAAGATTTTTGTAGACAATCAAGCTGCTATTGCCATTTCCCAAAATCCTGTGTTTCATGAAAAAACGAAGCATTTCAACATTAAATTGTTTTTCTTAAGAGAAGTGCAGAAAGATGGAGTTGTAACTTTAATTTACTGTAAATCTGAAGATCAATTGGGAGATTTCTTTACCAAACCACTTCCAGTTAACAAATTCAAGCTTCTAAGGCAAAAAGTTGGTGTTTGTAGCCCCTAAAGCAAGGAAGAGTGTTAGAAATTGCTTCAGGGCTGAATATGCCCACTTGCAGTTTTTTCTTTTGTTTTGTTTCAGTTGTTATTTGTTATCCTAGTCTTTAAGAAGTAGTTATTTTTTGTGGCTTTATTCTAGGATCATGGTGTTAGTGGGAAGTTTCTTTTTTATTCTTTAAATTGAATGTTTCAGAAGTGAATAATATAAGTTTAGTTATTCCATTCCTCCGCTGTAAAACTCATTCGCTGTTTCTCTGTTTTGTTAAAACACTTAGTATTGTAAACCTACAAGTACAATATCAAGACCAACGTACAGCAAGAGCAAGAAAACGAGACTGAGATCAAGGCGAAAAGCAAGAGCAAGAAAACGAGACCGAGATCAAGGCTAAGAGCAAGATCAGGAAAACAAGACCAAGATCGACAAGAAGAACACAGATAAAACCTATAAGGCCAAGAAAACAAGACCAAGAGACCGATAATAAGTTTAGGACTATGACCTTTCAAGAACACATGACCAAGACTGAGAACAAAACCAAGATACCACGAACAAAATGATGCTAAATACGTGAAATTTCATGCAAAATCAGAGCACACATAAACCATAATTGAGTATTCAATTAACAAATCCTGGGTCTGAAACAAAGCTATCGCGACGTAAATTTTTACAGCAGAATATCACCAGAAAGTATTCTTTGAATTGTGCTGTGACATTGTCATCATTGCCATAACGCAAATAAACAAAGAAGAAAAGACCCCAACCAAAGATTATGCAAAACATACGATATAATATCTGCAACGATATCAACCAAAGATTAACGATGCTATGCACCATCATGCTACATATGCTACATTTTTGCTCACCTGTTTACACTCATACGTATACTTTGTACGCTTTATAATCAACGCATAATTCGTTATATTTTATTATAAAGTTTATATCTCCTTTCAAACGCATATAACCATTATTTTATTACAACAAAAGGTTAAAATAATTATTTGCACATAAGCAAAATTTCAAATGAAATAACGTGTATCAGTGATTAGATAGAAAAAAATAAGAAAAGAAAATAATGATTGATTGATATTGTATCAACTATGTTAACTGTATTTTTTAACAGAAATATGAATTTAAAAAGAAATATGAATTTTATTCAAAATAGGAACTTATATGTATAAAAAATGAGAATGCATTGACGTAAAAATGACAGTACATGCGAAAGTTATCTCTTTTAAAAAAAATTGTTTAAATACAACAATGCGTTGTTATTAATAAATAAATATATAACACAAATACCAAACAATATATTATTTTTAAAATATCACATGAATAAAATATTATTTAGAACTAAATTCAAAACCAAATTTTAAGTTTTTTTCATCATTCGCTTCTTTCACACATTCTTTCTTATTTTAGAAATATATTTTTAAAATTTGAATTACCTCATTCAATACAAATGACATTTAATTGAATGAGATTGGGTCGTATTTGATATTCCTTTTAAATCAATCAAAACCAATTTGCAATATTTTTTTACTGGATTGAATGGTTTTTTCCCCCTCAAAACCAATCTAATCTGATATGTGAACATTCTTAACAATGATCACTAAAATTAATAATTTAGGAGTGGATGACATGTAGCTCAATTTTTCTTAATAAAGGTTCTACCTGAGTTTGAATTGATTTTATTAAATTCAAACATATTTTGATGAGATAGAAAAAGAAAGATATTAAATAAAATACAATACTTTTTTTTTCTTTGATCTTGTTATTAGACATCACTTACAAGATTTGGACAGTCTTTAAGATACAATGTCACTTTTAATGTTATTTTTTCATTAAAGCAAAACATTTTCCTAAAAATCAATGCGGATCTTTAATGCCTAACTTTTCTATAAGCAAATGTCAAACTCAGCCTAAACAAAGACATTATTACTTTTAAATATTTTAACATGCCATTTTGTAATAAAATGGCACAGCTGTACGAAATGCCATTTTATTATTGCTAGATGTTGAGCCATCATGTTAACAAGAATTATTGATTTTGTAATAATTAATACAAAAAATATATTTACAATGGGTTCTAACTGGTGACAGTGTAAAAGGTTATACTGATACAGCAAAATTAAACTCATTTTTAATGCTTTTTTGGCAAATGCAACAAATTGTGAGTGTTTTTATTATAAGGGTTTTCAAGTGAGTCCAAATCAAGAATTCAAATTATTCACATATATTTAAGTACAATAGAAGCTAGCATGCATGTAGCTGAAATACTAAAACATGGACTTGAGAAAAGTAAACTGTTAATAGCCTGGTAGCTCAAACTATGCAACCAAAGAAAAATGAACAATCAACACAACCATGTTGCCAAATATTTGAAGCATATCTCATCCATTATGATACTTGAACCACTTCCCTTTTTGTGTTACCAAGCTCTACAAGTAAAGTCAATAGAGCTTCACTCATTTCACGAGCACCAGGTTCACTAGGACTTTTCTTCTTTGAAGAATACACCATCCAGGCATGATCAAGTTTCATGCTTGGCCTTACAACAAATGATCCTGGAACTTCAGCATCACGGCACGTCACTAGGCCATCACTCTTTTCTCCATATCTGAGCTGCAAGTGGAGAGCACAAACAGCCATAGCCGCGGATAAAGGAATCAACACAGGAACTTGGTGTCCTGATTCAGCAAATGAATGAGACTCCTCAGTCCAAAATTTTGGTAGAAGGCGCCAGGGAAGTTCTGCATGAGCTATCTGGGTCATTGTTGCAAGAACACCAGGAGCAATGCTTGCTTCAGAGTGGAAGGAGATAAGAGGAAGATCCCGGGGGAGCTGGTGCTTCATGATAAACTCCTTGCGCCTCTCATATGTGAGATCCTCCAGGGCCCGTATGTCGCCCTAAAAGTATGTATAATTCGCACACAATGAACAACAAAAAGGGAAAGCAAAGGTTGTCCTTGTGGAATTTGGATTTAATACTTTGAACTTGAATTATGTCTATTAACTGAAAAAGGGACCGAAGTCATATGCAGTTAGGACACGTTAAGATCACGGCACCAAAATGTGAGGAAGTTGAAGCAAAATGCAACATTTGATTTGGTACAGAGAATCTCTGTATAGTAGGAACAACAGCATATTCTACAACCATAATCAGCAACTAGCTTATATCATATTTCTCCTAGAAGGGCAGATATAGCCCCAACTCCCTGCACTAACATCAAGTTTCATTGCGTCTAAAGCGAAACAGTTTCCTTTTCTGCTATCATTTTTAGGTAATAAAGTAAGCAATCAGTACTCTCAAATCCACAAATAAATTTTATAGCATTGGAAATGGTACCTTAATTATTTTGCATATTATAAGTTCCAATATCCTCCGGGTTTCTTTGTCACCAATTTGGCCTTCACGAAGAATATCAGAAGCTATAGGGGTGCCACCATATGGACTCTGTACCAGAGCCAAACCAGCAACTTTGTCCTTCAGGTCAGACCAGTATATAGATACTGCAGCTGCAGCATCAATCCCACCCTTACTGTGTCCAAGTAGCATAACAGGCTTGCCAAAACCCCAGTAAATCTCCTCAATGTATAGCTTCAGTTCCAAGGCATTGTGTTCTACTGATGCCTTAGAAGAGAAACAAGAATATATTGGAAAGTCAGACTCCAGAAGAACACATTTTTTATGGTGAATAAAGGAAAAGAAAAAGAGACCTCTGAAAAGAAGTTCAAGGGGGAAAAAGTGTTTTACAGTAGAACTGAAAGTTAAATGCATCACAGCGAAAAACAACTACAGAATCAGGTTCTGTAATGTGAAATGAAACTTGTGTGCTTTGCTTAAATCGGTTGAATATATTTTTTTTGGGAAGAAAATCGGTTTACTAATGATCAATTACCTCACTATGAACTTTTGCAATATGGCAAGCTAGGCCCATCTTTGAAAAGAACCTCTTAATGGCAACAAAATACAAGGGTCCATGGTTGCTAAAAAGACCTGTAACATGTGAAGCTTCTAATCTTAGGATGGAAATATATGTTTATCTCAACCGCAGAGGTAGATGACATGGATATTGACATACCTGGAATCAACAGATAAACAAACGAACTAGGTAGATAGTGCTCACCATTCCTGTAGAATAAAACCCAAAGAGAGTGTGTGTTAACAAACACTCCCCCCAAAAGAAAAACAGATTAACAAGTAACCTACTAAATTTTGATCGACTGTGGGAATAGGAAGCATAATTTTAAAATGACAGAATGATATAGATCATCCTTATTTTACTTTTTGTTCAAAAATTGTGAAATATAATTACATGAAAAAACAAAACAAGCAATACCAAAAAATTGTATAATGGGAAACTTAAAGAAGTAATCAAATGTACTAACTTAAAATGGGGAATAAGCTAAACTTCTATCCAGAGTTCAACCGTACGAGAAACGGCATATGAAAAAATGGCAAGAAAATCATGGTCTTAATAATGTTAATGAGAATTACAGAAAGATATAGTCCAGTGACACCGGTCTATTTCAACATAAACCTTATAATAAAATGGGGACCTTATGTCAGAAAGCAATTCCAAGAATCTTGAAGTTCCATCCTGTACTAGAGGCATTCCAGGAGTATGCTGCAGCCACCCAATATCATCAGAAGAACCTCGCAAGGTTTTCACCACACGAGATGTAGTTCTGTGAGTGCCAATATTTATTAATCATCATTTCATAGCAGTATTCAGTAACACAACCACCAAAAAAATATCTATACAGTTAACTTTTTCTGGCTAAAAGATGTGAATCACAACAAATAGGCTATCAAGAATTAAGAGAATTTGTAAAAGAAGCAAACTATTTTTTTTTTAAATATATCATTCCTACTAGTTTGCAGAACAAACCTACTTGTTTTACCAATGAACATTAAGTTGGGCACATTTAATGCATGAAAAAGAATATCTCCAGGAGACCATTCCCAAACTCCAAACATACTGTATACCGAATAATGGGAGTGTCAAACTGCACAAATATGAGGATAATACAACAGCAATGACATAATTACAAAATGTTGGTTTGCAAAGAATTATCAAAGAATGAACAATTAGTCCCAATATTTAGGTGAAATTAAAAATAAATAAATAAATTGATCGATCGAATTCATTTAATTTGAACATTTAATCTGATGATTAAAATTCATTAGCAGAGTTCATTAGTAGTGTTGTTAAGCATGGAAAATAAAAGGTTATAACCTTTTTAATAAAAAGGAAGGAACAGATGCAGAGATAGAACTGGCATATAGAATTGAAGATCTCGAATCTTCAAGCAGTTCTTTACTATTGCTAAAGGCTCTTCTTTCACAGATTCCATGGTTTTCACCTTCATTTTGAGGAGGTTGCAAAGAGGTGCTTCTTGTACATCCTGTTGAACAGTGAACTGAAGAGGTGACCACTGGAATAACTCCAAAATTTTCTCTGTGCCTAACTATGTCTTTAAGTACCAGATCCTCTGCAGTATTGTCATAAAATGATGATAGGAAAATCATAGCTTTCTATATTTGGGTAATACACCTCAATTAAAAAGAGAATGATACAATGCAAGCATGTATGCGAAATAACTCACCTATAAATTGTATAAATCGGTCACTAATATAACTTGTCAACCTCAAAAGATTGATGAGTATGTCATCCATGAATTAGCATAATCCAATCATATGGTTACCATAGGCCTGAAATGAGGAGCCACGTCACTGACATATACATCAGTGTCACAAATGATCAAGCTAAAGCCAGAAACAATTCCATCTTATGATCTCTGATAAAATTTAACAACGAATTAGAAAAGCTAAATACTATGAGTATGACTATGATTTGTTAAATATTTTTTCTATTGGCTAAAGAAAAACAATTCATAACGATGAACAGTGAACTACCCTGTCTATATTTTCTTTTAAAGAAGCATAGATTGATCCAAGTAATCATAGCCAGATCTTAAAGGAGAAGACAAAAGGAATGAAGCACTGATAGAGTGGCTTACGGTTACCAAGTTACAACATATGGTTGGAACTTTTTGAAGCCTGGCAATAGAAGTGGCAGCACCCTGCAAATACAGACACAAATTTTCTCCAAAGTTAAGATCAACGATGAATTTTTATATATATAATAATATAAACAGAGTAGGGGGCGATAAACGGATAGCCATGTGATTTCAGCAATGCGTGATCGTTACCCAGTTGCTTTAGTATATCAATATCTGTTGAACATTTGACTAAACCTCAAAAATTAGTTTAAGGAAGGAATGAGAATTATCCAAATGAATCAAATTTATTAAAAGTATTTTTATTATATCGTCTTCAGACCAGGACATTTATCAGTGACAAGTATTAAGACTAAATAGATTTGATTTTAATAAATATTAGAAATGAAGCTAGTTTAAGTCACTCTCAAAAATATATTTTTAACTAAAGTGGCTCATCTAAAAATTCCTCGTTGTGGTTGACCCAATATTAGTTTTCTTTTTATAGCATGCAATATAAACACATATAAGTACCAAATTTTGTTGTCAATTTTTGATTCACAATAGAATGGAGCAATCCACTGTATCTTCTTTTGGCTGATTTTCTGAAATTGAGGGACACTTTGACTGTGAGTCAGGTATACCATGAAATGTGTAAGTTAAAAGCAGCTACTGTTTCTATCCAAAAGTACAGGATAATGGTAACAACGAGATTGGAGCGTGGGACCCTGAAAGTTTTCAATCTCACTGCTCAACTCAACACCAATGGATAGGATAGAAATGATTGCATTTGCAGCCTTCCCTCTGAAGAAGGACGGGACACGTGGCGTGGAGTGTTGGAAGCAAAATCGTCGGCCATGCACCATTGACCTTTCGGAATTTCGTGAGGAGAATCACGCAGTTAATGTGACCGCTGGTTTCTGTTACATGTGGCGATGAACATGCTAACGATGAGAGAAAAATTTACACGTTACCTCTATGCATAGTGACTCAGAACAACACACTATTTTGATTAAATAAACTACTTTATATCCAATAGTGTGATAGTAATGGTGATAAGTTGGTAACTTGCCCATATTTTTATGATTAATATGATCTCATTTGTGGGTATTTTTAAGACAGAGAGTAGATAAGTGTTTGTTCTAAGTTTATAAAAAACTGTGATTTGAAATAATCTGTATAACTACATTATACATGTATTACAGCCAAACATACTTAGGCCATAGGAACAAGATAAAAAAAATAAGACTATCAACAATATCATTCTAAAATAAAACTAAAATCAATCCCTAAGTCAGAGCTATAAATGCGTCTGCAGTAAAAAGTAAGAAGCAAAGATTATTTTCATTCCTTCCTAGCCATTACAACAAAGGGAAAAATATAGCACTAAAGAGATCAAACTCACTGAGATGAAAAATAGAAAAAGGATGTGAAGATCTAAAACTCCATCTATTAGATACAACTATTTATCGACTTGCTCTGCTATCATATTTATATTCTTGAGATCTTTGGCATGTTGAGCGAATTTAGCCTTTCACTACCACATTATGTACTAAAAAATTTTAAACTACTAATTCAAGCTCTTTTTTAAATTCTTTTTAGTGTGACGGGGGAGGGGTTATTGGTTAATCATGGATTTCTTTTATGCATTGAGGAGAAATACGTACAGCGTTATAAAATATACAACAGAACAAGCTAAGACTGAACACAAATTCCTAGCTCATACTATATTCACAAATTCCCTCTACAGCTCCAGAAGCCACGTCCCTCATAATTAAGCACCTTTTTCTTTTCACAAGCTCTTGTCAGATGTGCTTCTGCTAGAGTTCAGAGGGCTCGCATGCATCATCGTCTTACGTTTTACATTTATTTGAAACACTCTATTATACCAAACTGAATGAAGGGTCATGTGGAAGAGGTCATACTTGGAGGGTTTTGTATGCCAGAAAAAATGTTTCTGAACCTTTCTGACCCCAAGTTGCAACTTGATATACTTCTCTTGAGGCACTAAAAGAAGTATCTGTTTCAAATTGGGAATATCTTTTTCTGCAAGGATTAGTGAGAATGCATCCCAATTTAAAACCTCAAAAAAGGGTGGCACGAAATTGTCAGATATAATCACAGGCACACACTCATAAAATATGGCTTCAACCACCCGTGGACTGTTGACCTCATACCCTTTAGGGCATATACAGTATTTGCTGTTTTTCATGTGCTGTATGTAATTCATTTTACTTGCAACACCAGGAGGCATTGGGCCATATATCTTCATATCAGGGTCTCTTCCCTTCCAGTGCTTCAGCAATATTGGACGCAAATAACCGTGCATATTTCCAGCATAGAAAGCAAGAACGGGTCTTTGATGCGGAGGCTTTCCTCCCAGATCTCTCTGAGGATTTCTTGCTGACCGGACATAAGCTTCTGGAAGAGAAACATCCCTTCCTATTTTAAAGCCTTGAGTTACATCAGCATTGCAAAGGGCTTTTATGCAGTATTCCATATGGTGCCTTGTTTCGTATGGAGCCTGCATCAGTCCAGTTGTTAGTCTTCTTGCCATATAAATAAAAGCATAGTGTTAGGCAACACACACACTCTGCTGATCATGCAAACTACATAACACAACTAAAGATGATGTAGTTAGGCAAATAAGATCTCCTTGAAGCGAATATGTCCCATTAAGGCATTAAAGAGGCATCCAAATCAATTATCATAAATAAAAGATGTAGGAAGGTTGGAAAAGTACATGGTTATTGTGCAAGTGGAATTAAGGAAAAAAGAAAGGAGCTTGCAGCATACCCAATCATGACAAGCAACAAGAAAATGGTCAGCACCACCAGTTCTGTTGAAGTATTTGTATTTTGCAGAAATTTTATCAGTATACTCCTTCAAATATCGACGGAGATTAGTCCGATTGTGAGAGTTACGTACATAAAGGGAGTACTCTAACATACGTGAACTGAATGGCATATAAAATAGGTGAGCCTTTGCAGGATCCTTCACAACAAAATGCTTATTTTCCTCCATCAATTTCATAAACCAACCTTCCGAGGCATATAGCCCCTTAAGTATAGGTTGATGAAAGATGGGTTTATTTCCATCCATGTATATGTAGACCTTGAGCGTCCGTTCCATGAGTTCATAACTCCTGCAAATTCAACAACCAAAAAGTCAAGTGATCATGAACAGTCGTAATAGTAGCTCCGACATAAGTCACATAGAAGGACAAAGAAAAGGCATGTAGGAGCAAATAAGTGAAGCCCAATGTCATACTTAGAGAAAATATTAAGATGACAATGTGATTAAGGTACATTTCAGAATTACCATACCATTAAGGGGAGGTGCCAGAGCCACATGTTTAAAGGAACAAATAGAAGAAGCAGGTGTATGAAAAACATGGTTGAGTCAGAATATATGCATGTCAATGAAGGACTTATTTTACTTGAGTTCATATTTCCTTTAACAGCTCCATCAGCTTACCTTTTGAACATAGAAAGGTTTCGAAAGAGAGGAGCATAAAGTTCTTTGTCATGGGTCACTATAGGAGCATGCTCAATTTCTGACCTTGCAGCAAGAATTTCCAGGTCAAGTTTGGATGACCACCTTGGTCTCTGCAACCAAAAATAGAACTCCATATTGAAATAACCACAACAATTACTTGTCCATTAGTTATAATTGACAGAGATATCAATATTATTAATACCATTGCACGAGAAGAAGCACGGCGGCGCACTAGTAGATGGTTCATCTCTTGAATCAACATTCTTGATTTAGGCGGCATCTCACACCTCATCTTTCTCCTAGGAATACTTGCTGAGATATTGTTATCTAAGGTCAAAATATCACTTTTCTGGGGAGAATTTCTAAGACGAGTAGAAGAAGTTGTACTGTATGAGGCAGGAGAACTTACTTTATCATGTTCACTTGAACCCATATAACTATTTTTCATTTGAGGTAATGTAAATGTTCCCCTTTTTGTACCAACACTTTCCAACTCCAACTTATCATTTTTTCCAACATCTTTCTTCTTAGGCAAACTATGAACATCATTTTTATCTACTCTCAATTTAGAAACATCATCAGAGCCCTTTCTCTCCGAGAGAAAATTACTCTTTCGATCATTGTGTATTCTTTTTCTCTTACTGTGCCAAATTTCAGTTTGAACAATAGGAATATGCACTTTTTTAACTCTTGCAATAAAGGTAGAAGAATTAGAAAACTTTGAAACATTGCCCGTCGGTGGATTCCAATTCCAAACAGTGAAATACTTTGGTGTTGAATGTAATGATGGAAGTCTAACTTTATCATCTAAAGATGCATACTTCTCAGGCACTGAAGACCAAGAAGCATTTCCATTTCCATTTCCATGTGGAACCAATATTGACTGAAATAGTAAATAATTGACAGCGAGTACCCCCGACAGAAAGAGCAATCTCCGGTTACCCATATGACATCACTCATGAAAATATTGAAACAGGTTAACCATTTAATAACTGGGATGACACCAAAATTACTTTAATCCAATCATTCTTCGAAAATTAACTTCAATCTCCCCAACACTTGCAAATCACAGAAGTTCAGACAAAAAGCTCGAAAGAGAAATCAAAGGGTCCTATAAGCAAAATGGAACATTAGATAATTAGAGAATTTGCAGGCAGATCAAGTAGTTAAGAAAACAAGAAATGGGAAAAGAAACAAGTGGGGTCTAAATTTTCACTATTTCTTAAATGGAGAAGCTCAATCAGCAAGAATGATGCATAATCTAAGAATGAAGGAAAGGGACAGCATGAAGCAGTAAACAGTACTAACCTCAGTACAGTGAAGAGTTATGCTTCAAGCTTCTTTTTTTTTTTTCTGTCCCACCTTCTTGCTGCTATCCTTAACTTTGTCAGGGGAACGAAACGAAGAAGCTCTCTGTCCCTCGCGCATAAGAGATTGAAGTTACAAACTTTCGAGCATCTTCGTAGTTAATAATTTCGAAATAAGGTCCCCCAAATGGACAAAAAGTTGTTAACTCCAATAAAAGCAATTGAATTCTTGTGAACGTGGAATAAAAGTAATAGTTTCAATTAAAGTTAAATTGTTTGATAATTTATATTTTTTTAAATCTAAAATTTATTTTTAGACTATATATATTATTTTAAAAGCATATAATTTTTAAGGATAAAAATAATACAGTTTTTATATAAAACAAAATAAAAACTATCATATGTTCAATAATTAAAGTGTATTTAAGTAAAAAAATAATAATGTATTAATTTTTATTTTATTGTAGTTTTAATTATTCTAATGATTTATTTTATTGCAACTTTTGTGTTATTAGAAGTGGGGTTAGGTTTTGAAAATGGTTAAATTAGACTTTAAAAAATTTACGATAAGTAAATAAATAATAATTAAGTTTTAGATTTAAAAAATAAATTAAGTTTATTTATTTAAAGTTTAGCTCAATTTATTGTTATATGTCTCTACAACGCATAAGCGTGTTTAATTCTGAGTGAATTTAGGAATTATGAATGAAAATATAAGCATGCAGTGGAAGTTGTTAAAATACACTAACTCAATTTATTTAAATTAATTCACGATAATTAAGTTTTGAATGAATTATTTTATTATGGTTATTTTTATGATTAGTTAAAAAACGATAACTTAGCTCACATCATTGTATAAAGTTAAGCTTGTTTGTTCTTTTTATTAAAAACGAATGACCAGGTAAAAAGAACAAAATTACTAACATTTGCATCATAAATTATGCGGCAAATTTATTAAAATATTGTAAATTAAAAAACAATTTATTATTTTATAGGAAATCTGAAACAATTTCTCAATCTGGGATGATTTTGCCACGTTGGATCAAAATTTCGCCAAACGGCTGGCGAAAATATTAATTTTTGAATTGTTTAATACCTATTTCGCCAGAAAAAGAACGAAATAAGACTTCTTAGAGCAGTTAAATTAAAACCGCTCTTATAGGTCTATTTAAGAGAGCGGTTCAATTTGAACCGCTCTCATAACCCATTTTTGAGAGCGGTTCAAATGGAACCGCTCTCATAACCCATTTTTGAGCTATATACAGTAACTCGTATCCTGAATTTTGCCAACCGAATTGCGAAATGTAAGTACAATTTCGCATATTTGATGGCAAAAATTTTGTTTTAATATATTTTTAAATTAATTTCGTTACCGGACTGGCGAAACAAATAGCCTCTTCTTCATTTTCGTTGGTGAAATTGCACACTCCGATTTCAGGGTTTGAGCACTATATATATCTCCAACCCTTCTCTCATTTTCATCGGAAGGACATATTAGAAGAAAATCTCAGGTATGTGTTATTTAATAATTTTATTATTTAATTTTGAATGTATAATTTTAGTTATATTTAATTAATGAGTATTGTTTATTTTATTTATGTTAATTATTGTAAAGTTTAAATATTAAATAAAGTTTATTTGAATAAAATGCAGGATGAGTGGGATTGTTATTATTATATATTGGAATGGTAGAATCTATGAAGAAAATGAAGGAGTAAGTTTTGAAGGAAGTAAAAAGGTAATTCAAATAAAACGAGGAATAAGTTATGAAACATTGAAAAGAAAAATTCATGTGAAACTCAATCTTAATCATAATCAAGTGATTTCTAGATTAATTTCTCATTTTTTGATTGATGAAAATATTAGACAGTATACAACTTTGGATATATGTGATGATGAAGATATTGATTGTATAATAAGTGCATTTCAACAACAATCTAGTAGAAATATTATTGAGTTATATGTAGATATTGCTGTTGGTGGAAGTTCATCAATGTCCTTATAGACGATGAATTTAAATTTATCACTTTCACAACAAAATGATAGGACCCTTGTGAGTCGTGATTATAATGAAGGTAAAATTATTTTTGTTCTAATGTCTTTTATTTAATATATGTAATTGATTGAATTAAAACTGATAAATTTGTTGCAATAAAGGAGTTAGGAATGATGCTGATGAAGATAATGAACACTCAGATTATGAGAGTTACACTGATGGAGATGATGAAGCAGAAATTTCATTAGGCAATTCTTCTTCTACTGATGTTGAAGGCGAGTTTAATTCTAACTTACATATACAAGTAACCAAAAATATATCTGTAGTAGTGGACATCTTTCTTTCCGCTTCTGATACCGTGGGATAACCATCTGCAAGTAATTGACCATAAAAACATGAAGCCAAACAAATAACAGTATAGAACACCTACAAATGCGTAGTGCTAGCAATAACAATACCAACTTACCTAACACCGTACGGAAGATAAGGACGACTATAGGGAGGATTGATAGGTGCTATATGGAGAAATCTATCCCAAGCCCAAATCACAATTAACGCGGTCAGTCCTCCAATAGCAACACGATCAATGTTGGTGGCCATGCATAGCTCTCGGTACAAATAACCTAGAACTGCAGAACCCCAATTATATTGACCGGTCAACTCAAAATCTTCAAGCAAAGGCAAGTACCTCACAGATATCCTACTGCTAGAGTGATCAGGAAGCATGAACCCTCCAATAAGCCTCAATATATATGCCCTAGCAAACCGAGTGATCTGCAGTGGAGTCTGATTATGCATGGCAATATGAGTGAAGTGTTCGTCCAACCAGCTCATCTTCAAGAAACTCTCTACAAAAGCCTCTGATCCTGGTCTCATACCTAGGCTGTCTTCCACAATCTGAGCTCAATCACCCCCAGTGGGTGCTATAACAGGTCTCTCATCTATGCGTAATCCTAATATAATAGCAACATCCTAAAGGGTAATAGTACACTCTCCAGGGGGCATGTGGAAGGTGTGCGTCTCGGGCCTCCACCTCTCTACTAATGCAGTAATCAATCCCACGTCTACAGGAAGCTTAGACAAGTTAGCCACTCCAACAAAACTCGCTAATTCCAGATGTAGAATAATTTCTTCCGGAATACCTTCTAATCCACCGGGAATATTTGGACTCTTCCTAACTCTCAATGTCGAGTGATCACGTTCATCCCAAATATGCTCAGAAACATGAATACTCTGAAACCGAAGAAGTGATAGATCTTCTGACCCGGGATTAATAACCCTACTTTGTTGTGAAGATGATGCCATCTATACAAAAAAAAAAAAAAATATTAGTCAAAAAATTTCATTCAATAATAATAATAATTTATATTTTACTAACATATTAATAATACATAAATTTTATATAAATACAATTTTAAAATTTTACTTCAATATAAGTGTAAAAATTATTTATTACAATCAAACTAAGTATAAATTATTATATTTAGTTTTATATATTTATTTTATTTAACTCAATTTTTATTATTCTGTATTTTAATAAATATCTATAATAATTCCTGTAAACAAATTTTATAAATCTTAATTTAACCTATCTTCTTAACAATTAATTATAATTTTATATTTTAATTAACTATATCACATTTCATTTTTTCTAAAAACATATTAATCTATATATAAATAAATAAAAAACTATTTAAATTTTAAATTCTTTTTTACTAATCTTTAATAAACTTTCAGCATATTCTTCACTCACCCCTACTTAATTACCAAATCACTTACATACGTAGAGTTTAAAAATATTACAATATTATTATCAGATTTTCTAATTAACAAAATCAAATTAAACATAATATATAAATGCATGTTGTTATAATTCCATACCTCTTAAATTCGTAGCAGTATTTGATCCTTCACAGCAAATCAAAACAAATTTTGAAACTTCGACGATGATAGAGAAGGAGAGACGGAGAAAATGGACGACGAAAGAGGAGCAGAGACGGAGAACATGTAAATGGAAAGGAAGGAGGACGACGGTCAAAAGCGGTTTCGCTAATTGCAGTGCGAAATGAGCTTTCGCCAGTAGCAGTGCGAATCATCTTAGATGTTGCCACGTGTATCAAAAGCCCCCCTAGCCGTCCATTTTAAATCTAAGAGAGCGGTTCTAGCAGAACCGCTCTCTAATATGCACTTCTGAGAGCGATTAGAGCAAAACCGCTCTCTAAAATTGACTTATGAGAGCGGTTCAGAAGCAACCGCTCTCTTAAATGGACTTATGAGAGCGGTTCGAAAGGAACCGCTCTCTAAAATAGACCTATGAGAGCAGTTTTAATTTAACCGCTCTAAGAAGTCTTATTTCGTTCTTTTTCTGGCGAAATAGGTATTAAACAATTCAAAAATTAATACTTTCGCCAGCCGTTTGGAGAAATTTTGATCCAACGTGGCAAAATCACCCCAGATTGGGAAATTGTTTCAGATTTCCTATAAAATAATAAATTATTTTTTAATTTACAATATTTTAATAAATTTGCCAAATTATGCTAAATTCATGTTTTAATTGTTGACTGTGTACATGTTTCAAGGCTATTAATTGTAATTTTTCATTAAATTCATTTTTTATTAACTAAAACTCAAATACACATTTTATTAGAAACAAGCATGCTAAATATTTAAATTAATTTTTGAATGATATTTTAATAGAAAACTAAAAAACCAAGTATTTACTTAAAACAATTTATAATATTTTTTATAAAATTTAAAAACATTATTAAAAAATTATTAGTCCATTTGTTTTAAATTTAAGTAAAATAATTTAAATTATGAAATTATTTTTATTTAAATGAATTTCAATAATAAATTTCATAAACCAAGTAGCATTCGAGATATGCTTTTAATATTTTTATTTTTAACTAAAATTTACATAATAATAAAAAATATTAAATAGAGCATAATTGAAATTTATATACATTAAAAAAAAAAAATTTCTAGTGTATAACAAATGTTTCTCTATCTTACACTGGTTTGATGGGAGGGAGATACAACAGCTGGGTAGGGATGATTGCTGGGGTGCTGAAAGCATAAAAACGACGTCGCTCTGCTAATTTACGAAATTAGTGAGGAATGGCTCACGTGAGGTGACAGCACAGAACGTAGAGAAGAGTGAACTGAAAAATGCGAAGCGCTTTATCTCATTCTTCTCCATGGCACTGAAGCTCCCGCACACTTACACGTTTCCCATCTTCGACCCAAACCCAAACCCAAACCCGCGTCCATCATTGGAGCTCCGATTCTCCCGCTCCAACAACGCCAAACCCCACCCGGAAACCCGCTTCCAGTCACCCAATGTCAACCGGTCACCCCGTCCATCACGACCCGGAAAATACTCCAAGAACCCGCCAAAACCCGTTGTCGACCCGCAATCGCACCCAGCGTTCCGGTTTTCGAACATACCCAAATCGAGACCGAGATCGGTAACCGGAGCACCGGAAAATGTGAAGATTAGCGAAGACGGACTCTCCTACGTGATTGAGGGTGCACCGTTCGAGTTCAAGTATAGCTACACCGAAACCCCTAAGGTTAAGCCAATTAAAATGCGCGAAGCACCGTTCGTCCCTTTCGGACCCACCACAATGCCCCGACCCTGGACCGGGCGGGCCCCAACCCCCCCGAGCAAGAAGAAGCTGAAGGAGTTCGATTCCTTCGTGCTTCCGCCACCGCACAAGAAAGGGGTAAAACCGGTTCAGTCGCCCGGTCCGTTTTTGCCGGGGACTAGCCCTAGGTATGTGAAGACGAGGGAGGAGATTTTGGGGGAACCCTTGACGCCGGAGGAAATCACTGACTTGGTTAAATCCTGCATCAAAACCCAACGCCAACTCCATATTGGTTCGTTGCTACTGTTTTTTGCACACTTTTTTAATGTCAGAGGTGGAAATTTAACCGTTTCTGTGGATTTGGTTTTTGTGTTGTAGGTAGAGATGGGTTGACGCATAACATGTTGGATAATATACATGCTCATTGGAAGCGGCGGAGGGTCTGTAAGATCAGGTGCTTAGGAGTGTGTACGGTTGATATGGATAATGTTTGCCAGCAATTAGAGGTTGGTTTTTTTTCGCTTTTAATCTCTTCTTCTTGGATGCTTTACGATTGCACTAATAGGCTATTACTAATTTACCTTATTTCAAAAGGCGTTTCCTTTTTTATATTATAAATGGTATGAAGTAAAACAATCAAATTGTAAAAGCCACGTCATGTTAGAGAAACTCTCAATTGTGCCTTTATCGTTTACTGATCTTCGGAACACTCCTTTGTTCATTGACAACTACTTTTCTTTGGTTTCTCTTGATGATATAGACCTCTTTACTTTGTTTCTATTTCTTTAATATGGTAAGTGGCTTAACTTAACATGGTTTTGTGTATTGGCTATGTCCCAGACATTCTTTGTTAGAAAGAAGTCAATCATGTTTGATTGTTGGATTATGTTTTTTGTGTATTCTCATTTCCTTGCATATCCCCAATTAACACTCCTGGGGTTGATGAAGAAAGGGATGAGGGGGATGGGGGAAAGATGATGATTGGGGAAATGCAAGATTTGTGGGGAAATGGAAATGTGCAAATAACTTTGGCCTTCATTGTTTACTTTTCTCACGTTATCTGATTTTCCAGGAGAGGACAGGGGGAAAAATCATACACAGAAAGGGTGGTGTTTTGTACCTTTTCCGAGGCAGAAACTACAATTATAGAACTCGCCCACATTTTCCTCTTATGTTGTGGAAACCTGTGCCTCCAGTATATCCTAGGTTGATTCAGCGAGTTCCTGAAGGTCTGACGCTAGAAGAAGCCACTGAAATGCGTCAAAAAGGAAGCACATTGATTCCCATATGCAAGCTAGGTACCTTTTTAAAATTGTTCATTACAGTTTACAATGAAAAAAAAATCAGTGTTCTTCTGGCAAATTGGCATCTAGCTGTCTTTGTCCTTTTTTTTCCTGATAAACATACTCTTTTTAATGCATTGGCTAATTTTTCTTGTTACAGGAAAAAATGGTGTTTATTGTAACCTAGCAAACAATGTCAGAGAGGCTTTTGAAGAGTGTGAACTAGTGCGAATAAACTGTCAAGGACTAAATAGAAGTGACTATCGAAAGATTGGAGCAAAACTAAGGGTATACCCAAATTTTCATCCTGCGTTGAAGATCATGTGGACTCAATTTTTGTTCTTTTCATTTGGTTTTATTATTTTATGCTAATTAATGAGGATGCTATTAATCTTTCTTTCACATCTATTCTTCTAACTGTAGGATCTTGTTCCATGCACATTACTTTCATTTGAACATGAGCACATACTTATGTGGAGAGGACCAAATTGGAAGTCTGCTTTACCAGATCTCAGACATGACTGCAAGGCCGATAAAATTCAAGTTGAAGATAAAAATTATGAAACACAGCCATCTGAAGCCCTAGAATTCTCAGCACCGTTTTTCCAGAAGAATTCAGTTGAGCTTGCTAGCACTTTATCTCAGGATTGCATTTCCTCGAGTTCCAGTGACGTGACTTCGGATGAGGTTGAGGTGCCATATCCCAATGAAAATGGCAAGCAAGCTATGTCTGTAGTTACTGAAATTGCTTCACCTGCAAAATCCTATGAAGTTGAACACACAAATAATGCCACAGGCTCCTATGGTGAGCCAGAACCTTGCACATGCACCAGTCCAAGAATGACTATGTTGAACCATGCTGAATGCTCCTCAAATGCTATGAATGATAGCCATGGAGCTGAGGGTATAGTGGATAGCGAAAGCTGCAGTGATGATCTCTCTGCTTCAATTTTAGGATCCGGTTCAATGCTAGGAAGTAGTGACAGTTATATTAATGGCATGGTTGATACTTGTGCTGATAAGTTGCTAGATGGTTCGGGAGCAGCAGATATTAGTCAGTCATCAAAGTCAGCTGCTCCTTGTATGAAAGAAATTTTGTTATTGTTGGAACAAGCTGTTGAGAAAGGCAGCGCAGTTGTTTTAGATGAAGATTCTTTGGATGCGGATAGTATTTTTCAAACCACAGTTGCGTTTGCGAAATCAGCTCCACCTGGACCAGTTTTTAGGAAACACGGAAAGGTTGTGGCTAAAAAAAGCGGCAAGCAAGAAGGACCAACTTTGGAGACTAAAAAAACAACCCCTGTTTCCATGAAACAGAAAAAAGAGAAGAGTACTAAAATTCCAAGAGAGAATTTTCATGACCAATTGCTGAATGTTGTACCACAAGGAACATTAGGAGTTGACGAACTTGCCAAACTTTTAACATGATACTGGCTGGCATTACATTACATTTTTTTTATCAGAATCGTACCTAGTGCATTTGTTAACAATAGAATGATGAATTTTGTTCCGCCCTCTGTCCTTTGCACTGCTGTTGTTACTTTGCATGGTGTTATTCTTGCATTATCTCAATATGGTTTCTCGTTGCGATTATTTTATTATCGACCTACCATTTAGGCTATGGCTAGATGTCCAGTGATGTGAGAAATAAAATGAAATGTAACGGCGTGGTATGGAAAGACGTGGGATAAACTTATCATTATCATCGTTTGGTAGGCACATGGAATGGTTAAGAGATTATTGAAAGATATGACCCATGCCTCTGAAATTAGAATAAGAAAAAAATGGTAGTATAAGGTATTGAATGAAGTTGATTTCATTGTATTATTATCTATTATTTTATCTTATTTAATAATTCGATTAATACTAACTAATATCGTTCCATTTTATTCTACCTTAAAAGAAATGTTACAATCCAAATTATTTTTTTTGACAATGCAAGCAAGAAACAATTGAACCCCCTCCCCCAATAAAAAGAAAAGCAAAAGAAACCTAGAAGAATTGTTCATTCTATTTTGTTGAGGATTTTAAACAGTAGCTGCCGGCTTCCCGTTTGATGTCTCTAGGTCTCGTTTCACTCCCTCTCTTATGATATTCTTCCAGAACCAATGGTTTTCAAAAAGAAGGTAAATCTCCTCAATTGGAACTTGTTTGGTTTCCGGCAATAGGAAGAGGATAAAGCAACTCATGATGATAATTAAGCCCGCAAACAGTAAGAAGATCCCATATCTGAGGTGGCAAAGTGACATGAGGAACAGTTGTGCAACGAGGGCCGTGAAGATCATGTTGACACACACCACAACACTCTGTGCAGATGACCTTATCTCTAATGGGAAGAGCTCACTGGGAACCAACCACCCAAGGGGTCCCCAAGATCTTCCGTATGCTAAAACAAACAAGAAAATCACTATAACAAGGAAGACACTGATGCCTTTTGAAAGTTCTTTGCCATGTCCAAAATCCACAGCCAAAACCACACCCGTTGCAATCTGCAAATCAATCAAAAAGTCCAATAAGCAATAGTTAGCATTGTATGTTCCATGAAACTCAAGGACAATAATAGCATAAAAAGTAGTTACCATGCAGCATATCATTTCAAAACCAGCTTCCAGAAAGAATGCTCTTCTACCAAACTTGTCAACCAAAAACATTGAGATCACAGTGGCAACAAGGAGAGCCCCATTGGTAATAAACGATGAAAACAAAGAAGCATTAGCACCAAACCCCAAGCTCTGGAAAATGACAGGTGCATAGAAGAGAATGGAGTTATTGCCAGTTAGCTGCTGGAATGCTGGAATCCCTAAAGCACCTATTATCAGTTGAGGCCTATACTTCCTCTTCAGGAGTGTCTTGAATGGGCTCTTCACCGCTTGCGCTTCTTCACTTGCTTCCTTGAGATCTTCAAATTCAGCATCAACGTTCTTGGTACCTCTAACTCTCTCCAATACTTTTCTTGCTTCATCCAACTTACCTTGTTCTACAAGACTGTTAGGTGTCTCAGCACACAAAAGACCTCCAATAAGCATCAGAATTGCTGGAACAGCTGCCAAACCCAACGATATCCTCCATCCATGGGGATGGACTTTGTCAGTAAAGTAATTCACTATGTTTGCAATTAAGATTCCAGCACAGGTTGTGAACTGAAACAGTTGGTTCACTGCTCCTCGGTTCTTAGCTGGAGCCATTTCCGAAAGATACAAGGGAACAGCCTACACAATTAGATATAGCCGTAAGAACAATATTTTCTATAATTCAAAATTTTCACTTTAGTCTCCTTGCAAAAAAAACCCATTCACTTTTAAATCGATAGTAAAAAATAAATTTTAAAAAAGTCTAAAATGGATAACTTATAAATCAATCGATGATTAAAATGAAAATTTTATTAAGTTGGAGACTAAAATGAGTATTACAATGGGAGGACTGAAATGGGGTGTTCACTCATTTTGGAACATTTTATAAACTTACTTGGTTGCCAAACCCAATGCCACCACCAAGAAGGACCCTTCCAATGATTAGCATAGCAATGTTCTGTGCTGCTGCATTGAGGATTGCCCCGGCCAAGAAGCTAAGGGCTCCCACTATGATACTGGCCTTTCTTCCCTTCTTTCTTGTTAAGTAAGAAGCAAAGAATGTCATGATCAATGCAGAGAAGTAGAGAGATGATGTGAACAGTGTCAGGACTTGGTTGTCATATTTACAGTAATCTGTCTCTTTCAGATGCATGTGCTTCCTTCTGTACACTTCTGGGAAGAACTCCTTCAGGAAATCATCCATTGAAGTCACACCACCTAACACGTGACAACATCATGAGTAAAGTTCTCGTCATACTTTATACTTTGCAGAATTATGAATATCATTCGGGAATAAGGTTAAACCATCCGATAATTCATGGCAAGAAAAAGGCAGGTGAAATCATTAATGCTTTTGAATATGAAACTTTATAAAGCAAAAATTCACTATTTCTTTTCATGCTGGGAAAGGTACTATAAAAATTATTTTTTTTTGCAATAATTTATTAGCATGTGGTATGCCAGCCAAAACTAAGCGCACCCATTATTTACTTTCAATTTTATCCTCCGTTTAGTCGAGAGAAAAGAAAATAAAAAGAAGAAAAATTAAAATTTGAATTGAAGAATATTTTCAAAATTGAATTTGTTAGTTTTAAAATGTCAACTTTGATGCATTTGCTAATCTGCTTGCTATGGCATAGGACGTAACCTAACCAGTTTTACACTTCAGCAAAGACGCTTGTGAATTTTCTAATTTCTAATAACATCAATAACAACGAAAAGAAACGTACAAACCAATCCAGAAATCTTTTAAAGAATATTTTAAAAATACAGGTATCGTGAACCCAAAGAAGTACGAAATTCCAGCAGAGATTCCCGGCAAAGTTTTCTAGTAAAATAGACATGATAAGGAATATCCAATAAGTAACCAACCAAAACACTGAACCTAAACGTAAAAAATTATAGATCGTTTCAATTGCTGCAAACGGCAAAGATCATATGGTCTTTTCTCTTTTGTCTTCGTATACGTCCAACCTTTTTGCCTATTCCCAAAATATGCCAAAAACTCAAGATGCCATATTATGTATACACACTAGCGGTGTTTCATTATCATTTTCGTTTGACCAAAAAAAATCATTTCTGCAATAAAAATAAAACGATGACAACATATTTTTTTTAATAATTTTCATAACGAAACTTCGATTTCTTTTTGAAAAAATTAGAGTGACGTACATTAAACATCGAATAATAATTTAATATCAATATCTAAAAATCATAAAGAAACATGAGTATCTTAATCTCTGAAACCATCTAATATAATGTCTGTCTATAACCTCCATTTCCTCGAATTTTAATGTTTTAAAATGAAAACATCTGCAAAGGAGGCAAGAGATCGATTATCGTTGATACAGATTCGATCACGGTAACAAACAAGCTCACAATCTACAAGCGACATCAACAACACCTATTATTTTTAAGGTTTATAATTATAATAAAATGTATTCAGCCGTCAAATTTGAAATCAACGTTTTTAAAATATTCTCTTTCTTTTAAAATAATTATAAAAACAAAATAAAGGAGTCGTGAGCATCAGATCGATGAGTTTACAAAAATGTTGAGAAGCGATGGCAGAGAATTTTCAGAAATGAAGCAAAAATTGAGGAGCAACAAGACAGACCTGAAACACCGAGATCATAGCCAAAAAGAGAACCACCAAGAGCTCCAACAACACATGTGAAGGCGAAATAGTAAGTGAAATTGTGTTCATAAAGATGAGCCCTTTTCCCTGGTCCTGCATCTGTCACCCCGCCACCTGCCATTGCTCTTTTCTCTGTAAAAGGGGCTCTGTCAGTGTTTCAGAAAAAGAGAAACAACCAAATCAGTTTTGCTCCTCAGGGACTTATATAAGTGTAAGAGTCAACGCCACCTAGGTCACACAACTCTATCTTTTTTAAATCTCTAAATGCTCCGAAATATAAACTTAAAAAAACAACACATTGCTTATGATTTTGTTTTTTCAATTTTAAATGGATAATTCTTTAAAATAAAGGATAATATCAAATGACACCCTTCGTGCGTTAGAAATGGAAGGAAAGGATAGTTACAAATAACAACTTACCTTCATACTGCTGAAATCTCGTAAATTGAATTGATGTGTAACCAAAAGTAGAAAGACAACTTGCACTCAATAAAAGATATTATTGTTGAGTTAAAGATTCGGATTCTTTATAGTTTTATTTTGACATTTAATTTTGTTCGTAATAAAAATATTAGTGAATTGAGTTAAACTTGTAAATATCTTGATCTTAAAATAGTTACTAAAATTTTTCAAAAGACTAGTGTATAAGTATGGATAGAGATCAAAAAAAGAAAAGAGTCAGAAATGAATGCGGTTTGTTTGACTAATCCAATTAAAATGGGCAATCTTATCTGGTCGTATGAATAGGTTGAAGCTTTGTGCCAACTTGTGAATGAAAAAATACATCATTTGTCTAATAGGGTGGCTATAATTGTCAACAATGATAGATGTATTATTTATTTTACTTTAAAATTGTCAACCGTTGTCGAATGTGATGTATTTCAATAAAGAATGCCTTCGACTCAAATCATTAAAAAATTGGTTAGTTTAAGTTTATTAGGATATTAATGAAATTTGATTATGTCTGAGCTGTTACTTCTCAAGTGCAATGTACATTTCAAAAGATAAAGTATGAGGTGAAAATGATTAATTAAAGAATTAACGATATATATATATAATAGATTATAAAGTTATTAAAAATGTACCCATTTTTTAATCAATTATTATTATTATTTTCAAAATATAATTTTATATTTTAGTAAACCGAATCTTAGTTTATAATTGATAAAAATGATAAATTTTAAGGATAAAAAAAAATTGACTTTTTTTTAGTCTAAATATATAATTTGAGTACTAATTCTTGAGTAAAATCAATTTTGAAATTTTTTTCAAATGAAAATGCTTTTAGAAATTAGCTTTTTAATATTATTTGAAAAATTATATTACATTTTTTTATTTTTAAATATAATATGAATTCAAATTTTAATTTTTTCATATATTTTTTAATTTCAATATTTATCATTTTATTTTATTTTATATGATAAAACATAATATTAATAATTACATTATTTTTTTAATTTTATTTTGATTTTCTTTTTAATTTTTTTTATTTTGATCTCGTAACTTACTTACTAAAGTGATTTAAACAAGATAACTTTCAAAAAAACTTTAACATTATTAGACAATGATTGTTCATCTTCTTTGAACATAGCGTATGGCAATTTTTTTTAAGCCTTTTTTTATTTTTTTTGTTTATCCTCTCATCTATATTTTTATAACGTATTTTTCTTATCCTTATAACTTGATTAAAATAAGAACTTGTTTGTTTTTTTTAAATAATTTTTTATTTTTAAAATTAAAAAATAGAAAAACTTACTTGTTAATATAAGTTTTAAAAATTATTTTTAAAAATTAATTTTTATTTTTAGTTTTTAAAACTGAAAAACAAGATTACTGTTTATGTGTTTTTATTGTTATTTTTTGTTTTTCTTTCTAAAACTAACAAAAGTTTATCTTAAAACAGTTTTAACAATTAAATTATCAAACAATTTTTAAAAATAATAATTTTATAAAATTGTTTTAAAATATAATTTTTAAAAATTAAAAATCAAAACTAAATTAAACAAGTCTTAAATTTCTCTTTTTTTCCTTTTTTTTTTATCTTTTACCCTTTTGAAATTTGACTCAGTGATCTCATTTTTTAATATATATATATATGTTGCATCTTAGGAGTTATAGGAAATTATGACAAACAAGTAATTGAGACATTGAAAAAGAGAAAACAAGGGGGAAAAAATACTTTTATAGGAATTTAAATTTACAGAAAACAAGGTTATAAAAGACTAAACAAATGATAAAAGAATGAGGATGAAAGTGGAGAAAAATAAATAATAAAAATTTTTATAAAATTTTCAGAATTTAAATGGAAAAAAAAAGATGAATAATTATTTTATGGGTTTTGTTAAGATGGGAAACTAATAATAATAAAATTTTATTAGAAAGAAAAGTATTTATTATATTTTTATAACTTCAATACAATAATTATATACTTTTTTTATAAAAAAAAAATTATTTATGGATGCTTAAATTCAGCCCTAAGGATTGAAGTTAATAAAACTCTTATTTTATAACAAAATTAATTTTTTATAAAAAGAAATTGTTTAAAATATTTTTATAAGAAAAAAATAAAAGATCAAATCAAAACATAACCAAGAATTATGAAATTAATTTATTAATTTTGTCTTTTATTTATTTTGATTTAATCACATACTTGTTTTCCAAATCAAATTTGTTTTATAAGGCTCAGATATAATTAACTTTTTACCTTACAAATATGCTATATAATTAATTTAAGTTAATTTAAAACTTTATCTAATTTAATTTTTAATAAGTTTATATTAATATAATGCATAAAATATGATTTAATGTTAAAAATATATTTAATTATCACTTTTTATTAATGATTGAATCGTAGTTAAAATAATGAATCTTTAGTTAATATCTTTATTGATTAAATCATCAATTCGACTATAAAGATATTCATTCTTCTTACCGTAATTTCCCTTTTTCATTTGGAAGTTTTGGTCAGAAATCACTATTCCTTATTAATTTTCCTTTCTTCTCGTTACAATTTTACCATATGACTATAATAGGATAATATATTTTATTTTTAAAATAAATCCTTTCAGAAATATTTATGATATTTTAATAAAGAGAATAAGACATATAAGTAAAAATTATAAAGATAATTATTTAGTTTAACAAAAAAAAACTTTCTTAAATTCATTTAGCTTTTCAGGTAAATGAATTAAAGTACGCTTGGTATGTTTGGTACATAAGCATTAAAAAGAAAAGGACAAAACCAAAAATAGGTTTTATTATTAAAAAAATAAATTAATAAAAATCACCGTAAAGATAATTTTTGAAATAATAATTAAAAAAAATGGTTGTTTTTTTTCCCTCCCTAACAAGCAATCATATATTCATTAGTCATATGATAAAGTATGTAATTAGCCATATTACTGTTTGAAAAGGCGTATATAACTATTATAGCTAAAGAAAACACGTATTTATATAATTATTTTATACAAAGAGAGGTGTGAGATTAGATAATTGATATATGAAAGAGATAAAAACAAAAACAATACTATAAAAAATGTTATATAAATAAAATAACTTTTAATAAAATAAATCAATACTTTTCGGTAGGGGGTATTGGGGGTCAACAAAATTCTATTAACTCGACCAATCTAACTCCACTCATTAAAAAATAAATGAATCAGTTTGTAACGTTAAAACTTAACACAATTAGAGAACCCGTTAATGTATAAAACAACTCAACTTTATAATGTTAAATGTGTATAAAACATTAATAAAGAAGTATTTGAAGAATAAACTTTTCTTTTTAATCACTCAATACAACAACAAATAAACTTTATCTAACATAATTATTAAATAAAAGATAATATTCATTTTATTAAACAACCTACACTCACCTTTAAGTCTTAATGATAAGAGAGATTTAGAAAAAGAGTTGTTATTATTTTTCTTTTCATATATTGATTAATTAAATTAAAAAAATGTTTAGAGGGAATCAATAACAAATTTCATTTAATAATAATAAAAATATCAGAAAGAGATCATGAGAAGATGGTAAACCGATATCATTCATAAAAGTGTGAAATCTTCCATGAAGAGTAAACTAGCAGGTCATACAATTTATTGCCAGGGTTTCGCTTCCCAGACCTAAAACATGGCTTGAGAAGGAAAAATTACAAATATGGCAATTTCAATTTTTCTTGCATTCCCATTTCAAATGTCGTTTCCAGAGGCAGAGTTAATTAAATCGGGATAAGTTTTAAGTTAATATCAATCAATTCCCTTTAGGCATTAATTAAAGAATCAAAATAACTTTTTTTTATCAAAAAGATTCATTTTTTAAGTTCTTGATTAATGTCCTCAAGGTAGTTGTTAGCAAGACTCAAGTGTTAAATCCAACAACGTCTCTGGTTCAATTTCTTGGCATCTTATAAATGGCCAACTGAATTCTCTTGATTTGCATCTCCAACAATTTTCTTCCAGAACCAGTGCTTCTCAAACAACAAGTGAATCTCCTCAATTGGAACTTGTTTGGTTTCCGGCAAGAAGAAGAAGACAAAGCAGCTCATAAGGAACACCAAGCCCCCAAACAGCAAGAAGATTCCATATTTAAGGTGGCAAAGTGATACGAGGAAGAATTGTGCCACAATTGCAGTGAAGGCCATGTTAACACACACCACAACACTTTGTGCAGCTGACCTTATCTCTAATGGGAAAAGCTCACTGGGAACCAACCATCCCAAGGGACCCCAAGATCTTCCATATGCCAACACAAACAAGAAAATCACAATAACCAAAAAGATACCAACCCCAAATGACAATTCTTTGCCTTTGCCAAAACAAAGAGCCAAAACAATTGCTGTGGCAACCTGCAGATGAAAATGATCCAATTAGATAAGAAATTAATAAATAGTAAGTTTTTATTAAAAATTGTAATATTTAACCGTATTATTAAATTCTGTAATTTTTAATAAAAATTTACTATATATACATTTTTATCACATGCAATTTTGTGCAGGTTAGAAAAATTGAAGCAATTTATTTAAGTAGATAAGCTGGTGTGAAAGGGTAGTTACCATGCAGCAAAACATTTGAGCGCCAGATTCCAAAAAGAAAACTCTCCTACCAAACTTGTCAACATAGAACATTGAGATCAAGGTGGCAATAACAAGTGCCACACTAGTAATAACAGATGAATATAGAGCTGCCCCAGAGCCAAAGCCTACAGTCTGGAAAATGACAGGAGCATAGAAGAGGATGGAGTTGTTGCCAGTTAGCTGTTGGAATGCAGGAATAGCCACGGCACCAATTATTAATTGGGGTCTGTTCTTTCTTAGAAGGAGGTTTTGGAATGGGTTCTTGATGGCCTGTGCTTCTTTGCTAGCATTAACAAGATCTTCAAATTCAGCATCAACATTGGGGGTACCCCTAACTCTCTCCAAAACCCTTCTTCCCTCCTCCAATTTGCCTTGTTCCACAAGACTGTTAGGTGTCTCAGGACACAACAAACCACCCAAAAACATGACAATTGCAGGAACTGTAGCTAAACCAAGAGACAACCTCCATCCCCATGGATGAAGTTTCTCGGTACCATAATTCACAAGGTTAGCAACCAAAATTCCCAAGCAAGTTGTGAGTTGGAATAGTTGGTTCACTGCTCCTCTGACTTTTGCAGGAGCCATTTCAGATAGGTACAAGGGAACAGCCTAAACAACAATAAGAAAAATGCATAACAAAGATTAACTCAAGTTTTCATCACGAACATAACATATATAATTTTGGAGCAGCATTAGTTGAACTTACTTGGTTACCAAATCCAATGCCTATGCCAAGAAGGATTCTCCCAATGATCAACATTGCAATGTTCTTGGCAAAAGCATTTAGGACAGCTCCTACAAAGAAGCTTACGGAGCCAACAATGATACTAGCCCTCCTTCCTTTGTTTTTTGTTAGGCTAGAAGCACCGAAAGTGGCAATAAGGGCCGCAAAGTACAGAGAGGAAGTAAAAAGTGTCAATATTTGATCATCATATTTACAATAATTTGTTTCCTGCAGATGTGAATGCTTCCTCTCATACACTTGGGGGAAGAATTCTTTCAGGAAATCATCCATGGAAGTAACTCCACCTGAGAGAATAATTCATCAATATCTATATCATGTTTATAAACCAACGTTAACCTCTTAGAAGCTGTAAAATTCTCATTTTCTTCTTCACATGAAAAAAGGCTCTCCATATCATTTTTAGAATTTGATCATGATACATACTTTGATGTCTTGGTTTATTATAACATACAATCGTATTCATTTGACAATGTGAGCATGGTCAATTCAAATGATATCATTGTGAAGGACATAATCACCTGAAACACCAAGATCATATCCAAAGAGAGAGCCACCAAGAGCTCCAACGATGCATGAAAAAATGAAGTACCAAGTAATCTTGTACTCGTAGAGATGAGCTCTCTTGAGAGATCCTGCATCAACAAATCCTCCACCTGCCATTTTTTGATACGTATTCTTCTTGTCTCCCTCTTGAGTGATGCCAAAAGGAAAGGCAGAAAGTATACAAGTGTTAACAAAAACCACTTTTCGGGCTTTATATAATAGAGTCAATTCAACAATCACACTCACCATAAGATATCTAATTCGACTTTTAACCAAAAGCACCCTAAAAAAAGTATAGGACAGAAAGAGATATGGTAAGGAAACAACAGTCTATCATTTTAGCATGAAAAGTGTTAATTTTGGAGTCACATGATATCAGAAAGGGAAAAAAGGGAGGGTTCAGTTATGAAACGTAATTTTTGCAGTTGAGTAAAAAAGAGATATTGATTCACAGAAACAATCATTACCGAAATTTAATTGTCATCTAACAGTTAATGGTTTGCTTGTTTGGCCACCACCACACATCAAATATTGTCTATTTGGCAGTCTATCATTCAAAATAAGCCAACTCCGCCGAGATTTTAATTGTGTAATTTTTTTAATTATCATGAAATTTATATTAGTAAGATGTTTATTCGTTATTCATATAATTTTTTAATTTAATTATTTAATATTATAGATATTTCTATAATACAATATAAATTTATAACATATAATTGAATTTTGTTAGTTTTGATAAATTAAATACTTATTTTTTATAATATTTTTTTAACATGTGTCTAAATACATGTATTAAAAAAATGTTTTTTTTCAGCAAAAATTGTTTTCATAAATAAGAATAAAGATAACATGTATATAAGTATATTGGGCTTTTCAAAGTGGCCCTAAAATAATTGTGTAAAAACGTGAGGCAACTAATGAAGTGTTCAAAATTTTACCACGGCTTTGCTTCCCAAAGCGAAGCCATGCATTCTTTCCCTCCTACACTTTTCAAAGCCAGTTCCGGTGTTTATGGTCACAATACAAAAGAGCAAGAAACAAAAATATCCAACATGTCATGAGATTAGCGAGTAAGAAATGTTTTATGGGTGTATAAATTAATGTTATTTAATAATTAAATGAAAGGGCATGTTACTTGATAATTAAATGAAGGGATATTACCTTAACAATTGAATAAAGGAATGACTTCTGAGGAGTCTCTTATGTTTTAATTGCTTAAGGGAGAAAATTATTATATATATTGCAAGAAAATGAAACAGAATTTATGATGTATCTATTGTTACATATATACGTCTATATTACTTCTTTTTAAATGACTTTTGTTTAAAATATTTTCTTTTCTCTTATAGTAAGGTTATTTCACATAACTTTTTTTTAAAAATTATAATAACAATAGACATATAGGTATAACAATAACATTCTTCTGACTTTATTTATTTTTTGAACATTTTTTGTGTTGAATCTTTTTCTAAACTTTATGTGTCTGTTTCTTATCAACATTTTAGCACGGCTGTACGTGAAACCCACATTAAAAATATTTTTTTAAAATAAAATGAGTTAAATATACATTGAAAGAATTAACAGTTCTAAAAAAAAGTAAATAATAATAAACTGATTTTATACTATGGCCCACAAAATGTGTTAATTTTTTACAAAAGATATATAAAAATTATCTTATTTATCTTATATCTCGTTCCAATTGTTTAAATTTTACTAATTAGTATTATAAAAGCAAAAACTCTTAAATTTTAAATTCTTCTTTTATAACTCAAGATTAACATTAATTTTTTTCATGTCATATACAAAGAATTATGTGCAAATCCTTTTTTTTAAGGACATTTTTGTCATCTTTTATAATATAATTTTTGTTAGTAACCTTTATTAATATAAAATTAAATTAATTTTCTACAATCTCAATTTTTTCACGCATTATATATTCAATCACTTTTTCTCACTGTGACTTGTAAGTTTAATTCTTTTATAATTTGTACAATTTTAAATATCACCCTTATAATTCAATGATCGTACAAAAAAAAAATAATACTAATAATAATAATAATAAAAGGAATCTCACATATGTGCAAAAAATAAAAGCTTAAATTTCTCATTTTTTCCCCCATAAAAAACAATTAGTAAAATTGAACTAGGATATTACAATAAAAAGAATGCTAACAACACAATTTCTAAGATATTTTTTATAAGGCACTGTTATTAAGTGAATTTCATGTGAATCTTGCTAGAGCTGGGAAATCAAATGAAGTTCACTCAAAACAAGGAGTTTGTAGGAAAGAGTCTCCAAAAACATGTTACTAGTATTTCTGGATACAAATCTTCAGCTGCGAGCAGAGGCTGGAGGATTGCCATTTGCTACTGTACCCAAAACTGCACTGCCCTCTGGACTGGCTTGGGTTTGGTCTTCATTTGCATGCCTCACAAACTCCTCAGGAGTCATGTGAGAACCATGACATGCACAAACAATCCTGATTTGATTGGTGCTGGATTTGTAAGTAACACCAGATATTGTCCTACCATTTGGGCCTGATCCTGTGGTGGATACCCAAGGTAGGTTTGGACAGGAACCACCCCCGCTAAATTTCACATCTGCAGCAACACCTAGCTTAATAATGGAAAAATCAATTGAGGAGCCTTCTCCTGTTGACTGGTCTAATGCATTTTTTGCTGTGAGGTTTGTGATACTTACTATCACATCTTCAGGCTGAGAGGAGGAGCTTTCTTCAGCGACATGATGCTGTTTTGAGTGTATTCCATCTCCTTTGGACATTTCTGATGTTCTTACTTCAGATGGCATAGCCTCAAATGTGTTATGTGAGATTCCGCATATGGCAGCTGTATTCACATATAACAGTAAAATGCCATTTCCAATAAAAGCAAGTACAAGCACAATGATAAACAGGAACCTTGAAAGTGGTGTTGGGTATCAAAATATGCAGAGATACTTGTAGTAATTACAATCTTATATTAAACCATTGCATTGCGTGAACAGACAGACAAATGTAGATGCAATTAGCTTCTTTGACCTTTGTTTTACATTCCGGTTTTCTATTGGTTTTTTTGGAATTTTAAAGTTTTGCTTAACAAGCTCAATGTTTAAGATATGCGTGCATGAGTCCACATTTATGTGTCTGTGTGTATTCCAAAACAAAAAATGTATCATACCCCCTAATTCATGTAATCTTGGAAGTTACAGTGGGAAAGATTATTAACATAATATTCCATCCATATCATGATTACCTGTGTTTGGTGGACCACTCCCAGTAAAAGAAGGATGTGGTTGTTGAGATACAGTAACCCCACCCCATGTGTTGTCCTTACCCAACTTCGAAAGCTGAACAGAAGAATAGCCAAACATCACTGGCAAGCTTCCATTGCTCACAGGCTGGGCTCCTGAAAGTTCACCAGTTGCAGTGGACATTGCATGCATTGCCCCAGATATCTGAGGGTTTGGTGCATGAACAGAGTTGGGATCTTTCATTGACAATGGATAAGGCGCATTCATCATATTTACTTGTTGGACAGAGAAAGAAGAACCATAAGTTAAATTTGCATGCTTAAAATCTTTTCCTGATGAACCAGTAAATCTTTTCTCCCCATTCAAGTCAGTGGCACTTGAGACAGCAACTCCACGAATATCTTTTGGTACATCAGAAGAAGCACCAACCCTAATGAATTGCTTGGGACCATCAACGTCACACAGTATAGGCATAGAGTTAGAGTTCTCAGTTTCAGAATCTGCAACATCTTCATTTTCAGCTGTTAAGCCATCTCCTGTCACAGAAATGTGTGATGTTCTTGTGTGAACATCAATTTCATGCTTCTTGCGATGCTTTATCTCATCGAAAGACATTTTTCGTTTGATTCCTGTTTCTAACTGTTTATCATCCTCAATCTGAACAGGTTTGTTACTGTTTGCAACCCAAAATCCTCTCCCGTTTAAATTTAAAGAAGCATTCTCTTCCTTCAGTTCCTTGGCCTTTGAAAGGTCACTAAAGAAATTCTTGTGAGGTTTTGAGATATCAATTTTTTTATTGTCATTAGTTGAATTTGGTTTCTGAGGACCAGCATCAAATATGGTCTTGAAGTCATCAACCATTTTGCCCCTTCTAACAGCCTTTTTTGCTCTTGTATCTGAGGAGCTACCATTCTTGGGTTTGATAGATGAGCCACCACAAGATAGACCCAAACTGAGCTCAAGTCCATTCTCATCCTCCATATTGTAATACTTAAGCCAATCAAAACAAGTCAGGCATAATTTCTTCCCAGTTTGATTATCAAATGTCTCATGATGCCACCTTCTTACAATGAGTAACTATCCTAAAATGGCTGCATTCAGTTTGAAAGCAAATAAGGTAAGCCATATCAAATATCCATTGCATCATCAGACTCATACAATGAAAATAACAACATAATTATCATTTTCATTTGTGCTAATGGACATACAACACAACTCATTTCTATCTCTATAGCACAGGTGAGATTTCATTTACAAAAACTTCATGGTTTTAAATTGTGGAGCACGTGTTGCCACAAGGACTGCATTTGTGATTCTTTTACAGTCGAAAACCACCAAAAACAAAATGCAAAATCCATTGACTTCAGACAACTTTGAAATCAATCACAAATCTAAGGGGAACAGATACAGCACAATGACATTGACAAGGATATGGAAAACACCAAATAAAGCAACCATTTTGGTCTCTGCTTCTCTCTACAAAGTACAAATTATAAGATAAAGTAAAACCAAAATAAGCTCACAAAATCCAAACAGTCAGTCGAAATTAGAAAAGGCAGGGAGACTCACCTCAATTCAGGGTCATAATTTTCCTTCCTTCGTTGAAGTGATACTTGAATGAAAGAAAGATCGAAGCATAAGGTAATTGGACTGGGAAAGCTCTTTTATTTTCTCATAAATTCGAAAACATGGGTTTCCTAATTCATGGCTCGAAAGTTAAGGGAAAATGGGGTGGGGCTCAGTTTCCTAGCTTGTTCTGTGTGCATATTTGGGGAAGAAAATTGAAAGGAAAAATGCGAAACTGATAATAAATAAATAAACAAACAAATAAATAAACAAGGATAAAAAAATGAAGAAGGGATGTATCAGGAAAAGCACAGAGAATTTGAATCTGAGAAGAGAGATACTGTAATTGGTAGAGAGGCAAAGATGATCAAACCCTAAGTGTCAGTCAAGTACATCTTAGGAGTGCTTGAGAAATGAGAAGTGAGAGAACACAGACACAATAATTTACAATAATTTGTAAAGAAGGAAATAAATAAATAAACGTTCTTCTGGAACAATTAATATTTATTTTCTTTCGGAAGAAAAACACCTTGCGCATGTGTTTCTCGTGTTAACGTTTTTTTTTTTTTAAATTTGGTCAATTTTGCTCTTAATTACATCATTTCGGAATTAAATAAATTCTGTTTAATTGTTTATATTAATTATTAAATTTGACTTGGTCAAATTTTTTTAGATTGAATTATTATAGAGAAAAGATATTTATTTATTTTCTTAAAATTTAGTTTATAATCAAAATATATATTTAAATATTGACATTAACTCATAGTCACCGTGCATATAAAGTTTTGTTTTATGTAGTCTGGTATAATTTTAATATTAGTACGATTTTATGTAATAGTTATGTAATTTTGCAATACATTTTTAAAAAATTTGTATATTAATATATTTTTAATGTAAAAAAATATGTAAATATATTTTTAGGCTTTTAAATAAAATTTATGTAAATTTTATCATTATTTTTTTTATTTTTAGAGGGTTTGAATTATTTTATCGATATAACATAGTATCTTCAATAATTATTTTGAAGTGATCAAATTCATATTAATTATTTTACTTAATTATAATAATGATAATTTTTAAATAAATTAAATTTTATAATGATTAAAAATTAAAAATTAAGATCTTATTAAATTATATTTATAAAAATATAAAATTCATTTCGTCTTATAAAGTTTTGTCTTCGTCTGATGGATGCAAATACATATATGAGTGATATAAATATAGATACTAATATGTGTATATATAAAAATAACTTCATAATATACGAATATTTATCTTTTATAATTTATTAAAAAAAAATTAGACTTGAATCATTCTCAGAGTTTTAATCATTATTTAATATACTTTTTGTACTAATATATTTATTTTAATTCACTAAAAGCATTTTTTTTTATTTTAATACTAATTATTTCAAGTATGTAAGATAATAAATAAGTAAAATATTATTCATTTTTAAGCTTGAACATAATTGTAGGTAAAAATTTAAGCTTTGAATTACTGGAAAAATAATGTGAAATGACATTACTAAATATGAAATACTCTAAATATATATATAATTGATTGCACCTACTTATTATTTTATGCATTAAATTTTGAAATATATAAAGTTATTTTTATATGGAGAAAGATCTTCTTACTAAATCTAAAAACTCTTACACCCAATTTGAACATTTTATTTAACTTACATCTAATTATCAGTGAAATAATAAATTATAATTCGTTAGATTTAAGTTAAATGAAAATTCAGATTTAGTGTTAAGAGTTTTTAGACTTAACCAGTGTAAAAAGATCTTTCCTGTTTTTATATATGTAACTTCACTTACTTATTACTCTATGCATTAAATTTTAAAATGTGTAAAGTCATTTCTATATATAAATTCACCTACTTATTATTCTATGCATTAAAGTCATTCTTATTGACTGCATTTACTTATTATTTTATATATTAAAATTTAAAACGTATTACTTATAAATTAAAATAATATTTTATTCATACTTATTATCTTCTAATTATATTTAAAGAATGCTTATTAGAATTTATTATTATAGTTATATTAAGTTACAAACGGCAACATAAATATTCATACTATAAATTGTTTTAAATTATTGTTTATTAAAATTAATTATAATTTTTTTATAATTTATAAATTAAAATTATATATAATTTGTACTTATTATCTTTTAATTGTATTGAAGGACATTTTATTAGAATTGATGATTATATTATTTTAAAAACAACAATAACAAAATTGTTGTGAATAACTTTTAAGAAAAAGAAAATAATTAAATAGAAAAAAATATCTATAAATTTTTTTAGTTACATTTTAATTAAAAAATTATATCTTTACGTTTAAGTTATTAATTTATCAATTTATTTTTAATGATATTAATTTAAATTATTTTATTAATTAGTTTAATATAATCTTTATTTTATTATCTACTTCAAACACTAAAATATAATTTAAATTAATAATAAAATTATATCTTTACTTTGAGTTATATTTAAATTTGAATGATATTAATTTAAATTATTTTATTAATTAGTTTAATGTAATTTTTATTTTATTAGAATTGATAGTTATATAATGTTACAAATTAAAATAACAAAAACACTGTAAATTATATTTAATAAAAAAATATTAAAATTTATTATAAATAAAATAATTTAAAAACATTCTATGTCAAATATTGAAATAAGAAAAAAAATATTAATTAAATTGTATAAAAATATTTTTGAAAATATTTTAATATAGATAAAAACATAACTTTTATTATATTAATTTTTTACTTTTTGACTTTTTATATATTTCTAGTATTTCATTTGTACTTATATAAGTCACATTTACATAACTTTCAAACACTTGCTTACTATTTTTTTTATTATCTTTCTTTTTCTTTATATTTTGTAATCATGTCAACTGTAAAAAATTACTTATTCACGGTAAGTATATGTGTTCTTGATATTGATATTTTTATTTTATTTCACTAAATTATGTTATATATTTTTAATTAATTTTTTGAGTAATCATAGAGTTATATTATTTTTAAATAATATCATGTATTGAAACTTATTTTTAACTGATTAATTTGTATCAAATATATAATAATTTTCTTATATTCATCACAAATAATTGTTTATTTATATATTTTTCATGCTTTTATAGGAAAACAACAAGTTCCAATGAAGATAAATATTATAGGTAATATTTCTATTTTTACATCAAGATCTACATTCTTCTTAAGTTAGAAAATTTCAAAAACATATCTAAAATTTTAACAATGGCAAAATCAAAGAGTGATATGATGAATTTAATCTCTCTTATAGTGTGTTCTTATTTAATTTTTAAACTAATTTTTTAATTAATTTTAAGAACAACATAATTAGTTATATTATAACTTTAAATGATATATTACTTAAAAATAGTTTGTATCATATTTTTTGCCTCATTGTAAGAAAATATTTTTTTCACAGGTACAAATTTTAAATGTGAATTATGTTACAAAGATGCTAAGTACCCAATGACAAGGTAATTAATTTATTGATATAGTTATAACACTATGTATTTTAATTTCTAAATTTTAAAATTAAAACAAATTAAATTATATATTATTACCTTAATTTATATACATCACGTGTTTCATCTTGAACTTGATGTTAAAGAATCTAAGAATTCAATTATATTTATTTTATTTGATGAAATTCTTAAATAATTAGTACAAATAAAGTTAAAAGATCTTATTACAACATCTAAAATTGTAATCAAATATGTTAAGTTTTAACTTATTTGAAAATATAATCAATTAATGAATTGTATAAATAAAATATATTAAAAAAATAAATATTTTTATGTGATACTTTTTTTAAGGGAGATAGTAAAGGGTTGAAATTGCCTCATAACTTTGAAAGATTATTGACACTTCACATATTTTTTAAATAAAAATAAGTATTTACTTTGAAAGTTGTGAAAGACAAATTTTCACTACAAATAAAATTTCGGTCAATAGTGAATATAATATAAAAAATTAAATTTCAATTTCATTATTTTCATTTATAATATTTATAATATGATGATGAATAACTTTATTTTCATTGTTTAATATTTACAAATTGAGAAAAAAGAAACTTTAGACAATATAAATATGAAAATAAAAGAAAATAACTTAGTAATAAGTTATTCACCTATATCTCCAATTTTAGGAATACTAAATTTACCAAAAAGAATGAGAAGATTAATGTATAAATCATAAATTTGTAGTATATTGTTCAAATTTCTTAAATCATATAATAATTTATATTCGATATTTTTTTGTAGGTCGCAACTTGAGAAAGACGAAGTAAAAAATTGTAAACAAAAAATAATAATAAAAAATTTAGAAAATTGAATAATTTTTATTCTAATATTATATAAATACTTTTAAGTTGTGTAAAATTTGAAAAGTAAAATATTGCCAAACATTTTCATCTTTTATAAAATATTTTTATTATCTTATTATATATCTCTGTCTTATCTTATTACTCTCTGTGCATTTATAACAAAATTTATAAAAGTTATGGTTGTTAAAATTTAGAAGGTATAAAGTCACTTTTATATTTTACACATACTCATTATTCTATAGATTATACATGCTTATTACTCTATGTATTTATAATATAATTTATGTTTATTAAAATTTAGAATGTTTAGAGTCATTTCGATGTATAAATAATAACTTTATATTATTTTATATATTTATAACAAAATTTATAAACGAATCCACTATAAATTGTATTAAATGAAAATTAATTAAAATTATATTTGATTCATATTTATTATCTTTGAATTATATTTAAGAAAAGTCTATTAGAATTGATGATTATATTATGTTAAAAACGATAATAACAAAACTGTTGTGAATAACATTTAATACGAAATTATTAAAATATTTTATATAAAATATTTAAAAATTTACTTTCAAATAAAATTGTACCTGGTAAACAAAGATATTTTTACAAAATTTAATAAAATTCTTAAGTTACTTTTTGATTAAAAATAAAATTGTATCAGATGAATAAAGATATTTTTTTTTAAAATAATAAAATTCTTAAACTACCTTTTATTTAAAAATAAAATTGTATCTTTGCTTTAATTTCTATTCAAATTTTAGTGATATTGATTTAAATTATTTTATTAATTAATTTAACATATTATATATTTAAATATATACTTCTAACTCTAAAAATGTACTTTAAATTAATAATAAGATAAATATTAATGTTTAAAATATTCTCTATATTAACATTTTGTTAACAATTTTAAACTATAATTATAAATAAACAATTTATTATATAAATTTAGGTTAAAAAATATAAACAAATGCATAAATAAAAAATTGTAGAGTATTTTATTTAAACTTTATAACTCATTAATTTTTTTTATATTTAATAAGTTATTGTTATAATTATTTATTTTAAAATTTTATAATAACGAATACTTTAAAAATTTTATCATATATATTTTTTAATCTATCAAATATTTCAAATCAATATAATTAATTTTAAAAAATACTAAATTATACACATTTTAATTTTACAGTACTGTTCTAATATATATGATATTTTTATAAATAAATTTATTTATATAAAAGTAAAAAAAATTAAAATATTTTAATTTGCATACATTACCATATAGGTTTTTTATGTATTTATGTTGAAATTATTATTATTGTCATTTTTAATGAAATTATGATGGTAATAAATTTTTTTTATTTATACCTTACTTAATCAACATATTCCTTTTAGTCTAGTATTTTAATTTTATTTATTTTTATCTGTTAATAAATAATTAAAATTAAAAATATTAAAAATATGTATTATATTATTATCAATTTATTATATATCATAATTTTATAAATTAATTTTTTCCTCATAATTATTAAAAAATATAATTTTTAAGTAGTAAATAAAATATTTGTTAATATTATCATTAAATATTTTTAAAAATTTAGAGAATCTTAAATTTTTTGACTATTTTGATATTTATTTATATATCTTTTAAAATTTATTATAATTATTACCGTATGAAATTTATTTATTATATTCTATTTTAAAATAACTAATAATATGTATCACAATATATATATATATATATATATATATATATAATTTACTTATTTATTAGTTTAATTTTGTTCATTTTATCATTTTTAAATTGATAAATAATTTTAAATAATTATTTCACATTTTAAAATTAATTTGATTCTTTATTTCATTTAAAGAATTATTATAAAATTATATTCATAAATTTATTGGTATTAATATTATAAACTATAATGATATTTGTTGATTTATTTATTAAATATAATTTGAGTATATATGTATAGAGTTTATGATAACCACTCTTATAATTCATATTATATCATACAAATAATAAATTAAATATATTATATCATAATTTTTTATTATAAATTAAATATATAATTGAGATAGAAACATTCTAACAATTAGTAAGAAAGAAAAATACATTCTCACGTCGATCAAAATTTTAAGTATATCTTCTCAAGCCAATGGAGGATTCACTTAAACAAATTTTTGAGAGCACAACATCTAAATTTTCAATAACAAATGCGAGATGAAAAATATCTTTACGAGAGAGTCGTGTTTACTCCTTTAAATGACATTATTAATAATATTAATAATTATTTTATAAATATGATTGAAGGGTCAATAAAATATTATAGAAACTCTGATGAGATTGACAAAACAACTGATAAAATTACGGAACAAAAGCTTATATATCTCATATAATTCTTGAATATTTTAAATTTTAATGAATTCTTCCATTGTTTGCAACTCAAAGAAGAAATGTCAATTATGCTACTTATAAACATCAATCTCGCATTAGAAATGTGCAATGAAATAAAACCTCTTATCATGCATTTAGGAGAGTGGATAATTGAAGCAAAAATAATTATAAGAAGCAAAATTGTTGCCAAAATACTTATTTCGCGTATATTTTTTACAACAAGTAACTCCAAGTGACCTTTTATTTTAAGAAAAAAAAATTTCCAATAAAAGTGAGTTATGTGTGACAATAAACAAAAGTTAAAGATAATCATTAAATTATGTTGAATTATATTTACCAAAACTTATATTTAGTCATTGTTAGTTATACGTTGCAATGTTTAAAGTAACGTCAATAAAAAGAATAATAATTCTTAGTATTGAAAATTATGATAAATATATAGGGTATACAAAAAATGTTATGTATAGAGAAGTATTTCATAATATTTCTCAGTATAATTATATTTAACATAATAATTTTTTAGTATATATATATATATTTTATATTTTAAAATAAATTTATTTAATAAAAATAAAATAAATCCATGCAACGCATGAACATATTTACTAGTTAGTACAAATATTTACTTCTTTTGAATGTTAAGAGGAGAGGAAAAGAGAAGAAAAAAGTTAATAGGGTTCAACTAACTTTAAAAGCTAACCAAGGGTGAATAGATTTTTCTAAATTTTTGACATCTTGTTAGTTGTTTTGGATTAATATTTAGGGTTTAGAAATTAATTTTGAGTTTTTTCTTTTTTCACTATCTTATACTATTTCACGATTATGATTTTATTTTATTTTTTAAAATATATTAGTTTTTAAAGTGAGAATTCTTCATAAAAAATTATAAAAATAAATTTAAATTATAATAATATTTTGTATTTTTTTAAATTAAAGAATAAAACATATTAAAGACAATAATGTCATTTACTATTAAACTATACTTTACCATTTTCTCTCAATATTAAACAAATAGTTTAACTTTTCTTCATCTTTTTTTTTCTTCCCTCTTTTTCTTTTCAAACTCTAATTTTCTTTCTCTCTCCAAATATTTAAACAAAGTTTTAGTCAAGTAAAATCTACTGATATCCCTTGTAATTGAGAGAGTTTGATATTTTCTCTTACATGTAAAATGATTCTAATCATTAATTTTATATTGATAGATGATGGAGTTAATAGTTTAATTGAAAAATATGTTAATATTTTTTTTTATCATTAAGACATTAGAAAAATCACATCTGTTAATCTAAAAATCTCAATAAAATATAAAATATCTTCTCAAGTTTATGGATACTACGTCAATTATTTTTTAGTTAATTTTATGATGAATAAAAAGAAAAAATTATTTGACACAGAACCATTTAAAAAATATAATAATAGGAGCAATAACTTAAAAAAATAATTCAATATGTTTACATAAATAAAAAACAACAATAAGTCTAATTGATTAATTTTTTGATAAAATTTGTTGTATCATTGTAATTGAGGGGGTTTAGTATTGTTTTTTAATTTTTATACGTGGAATAATTATGACTATTAATTTTATATTAATAAATAATAGAGTTAGAAATTTAGTTAAAAAAGATGTTAATCTGTAACACATTAAAGAAATTACAGCCATTAATTTAAAAAAACTATAGAATACTCTATAAAATTTATGAGCACCACCGCAAGCACCTAATTTTTCATGATAACTCTATAAAGTAAAAATAGTCTTATTTATTTGTTTTAAAGATATTGTATATATTTTTAAAATAATGCTAAAGCTTTATATTATTTATTGACCCTAATTTTTTTATATTTTATTAAATATTAAAAAATATAAATATTGTTTCCACTTGTAGTCTAAATATAATATAATATAATATAATATGAATGTAATTAATGTTTTAAAAACATATTATACATTTAATATTTTCTTTATAAAATTTGTAATATTATTTTTATCTAAATGGTCACTTTAAAAAATAAAGAACAAAATTTAAGCTATTTATTGAAAATTTATAATTAAGATTCATACAATATATTTTATTATATATAACCCTGTACATAATTATTAAATTTTAAAAATTTTTATATTAGACATTACTAATACAAATAATACATTATTAATTACTTAATATATATTATAGATATGATTTTTATATTAGTTATTATAAAGATTAATATTTTTGCTGAAATGACAGTGTAAAAAAATTATAGATTTTTTATGTATTTGAATCAAAATTTTTAATCAATTACTATGACTTTTTATTTTAAAGGCGACAAATTATAAAATAAAATGTCTTTGTAAGTAAAAAAAGTTATTTATTATAAAATAAGTATGTGATATATAAAAAAGAGATATTTATTTGTCCAACATTTGGGTCATACTAATTGTTTGCACCATATTATTTACATGAATTTTTTAATCCTAACTAGATGATTTAATTTTTGACCAAACTAAAACCAGAAAATAGTCAATACATGTAATTATGCACAAGTTGCATCCAATCCAACCCTAAAAAATTGACAGGGAAAAAGAATAAACAATTACACAAATGGAACAATTTGGGAAGTAACCTTTGTACTAATAGCTTTGGGTTCTAAGTTATTCTATTCTTGTGTTGTGCTTCTCTCCCTCTCCTTCTCCTCATCCACCACAAAGCCAACAGCCAAAACTCAAACAATAGCCTCACTCACAAAAAAATGGTGAGAGTGATTCCCATGGCTTCTTCGATTCGACCCACTCTCTCCTCACTTAGGTTTTCATCACCTTCTTCTCTCTCTCTCTTCAACCCTTCTCCTCTTCTCTCTTCCTTCAATCTTCCCACTGGTAACTTCCTCTCTTCGCTAAACTTGCTTTCAATACACTGCACATGCTCCTAATTCACTCACACCATATAAGCTTAATTTTCATACCTATATGTCAATTGAACTCGATTTTATACCCTCGGTAATTCCAAAAATTGAAAATGTTTTTAATATGTGAAAACTTGATTACACTTACGAAGTAATCTTGTTTCTTCCGCTAATTTTTGTGGATTTGTTATTGGGTACGCATGTATGTTTAATTAGCCTCAGTTTCTGAATAATTTTGGACACCCTTCAATCCCAATGATGAATATATTTGAATTGACCTCAATTTCTTGTTTTTGGGGCAGTGTCTCAATCCCCTAGTTTTGGCCTGAAAGCATCTAGGATGTTCAGACAAGATGGTAAATCCATGAGAGTGATGGCATCAGGGAACGTGTCCCAATCAGTCACAGCTGCTTCACAAGAAAATGTACTTGAATGGGTGAAGCAGGATAAGAGAAGAATGCTCCATGTTGTATATCGTGTTGGGGATTTGGACAGGACCATAAAGTATTTTGACATTATATTGATTGCAAATTGCTTGTCTAGAGTAGAATCAACTTTGTGGAGTGCTTATTTACGCTTTGGTGATTTCAGGTTTTATACCGAATGCCTGGGAATGAAGCTCCTCAGAAAGCGGGACATACCGGAAGAGAGATACACTAATGCCTTCCTTGGATATGGGCCCGAAGACTCACACTTTGTTATTGAACTGACATACAGTAAGGGTCTCATTGTGTTGATGTTCCTCTTGAGATGTGCAAAACCAAATCTACTTGATGACTTTTCTTGATAGTTTAAGGACTTTGGCACTTCATGAAGTAAGGTACACCTGTGTGTGCATAGAAAGCTTTCAATCAATATTCATTTTTCATTTAACAACATTTCAGATTATGGGGTTGACAAGTATGATATTGGAACTGGATTTGGCCATTTTGGTATTGCTGTTGATGATGTAAGTTTTCCATACTTTAGTATGCACTACTGTCCTTTATTAACTTCTTTGTGAGGCGTGTTCATTTCTGGGGGGTTGGTGGCCTTTATTCTCAATCTCATGTGACCAGTCAAATTGCGTCTTTATTCTCTTGAGATGGGGTGTGGAGTGGAGGTGCAGTTTTGGTTGTTATTTAGGATTTCCTCTCCATTGTCCTTCTGACAAACATATATGCTGAATTTCTTTGTCTGTATGATTATTTATTAGGTTGCAAAAGCAGTGGAGCTAATAAGAGCTAAGGGTGGCAAAATAACTAGAGAGCCTGGTCCTGTCAAGGGAGGCCGTTCAGTAATTGCATTTATTGAAGATCCTGATGGTTACAAATTTGAACTTCTGGAAAGAGGTCCTACTCCTGAACCTTTGTGTCAAGTAATGCTTCGAGTGGGTGATCTCAATCGTTCCATAGAATTTTATGAGAAGGTCAGGGTTAATGCTATTTTATGTTGGTTTAGACTTAAAAGTTTTCTTATTTCCTTTACTTAACATTAAGATATTCTTGTGGCTGCTTACTGTTTAGGCATTTGGTATGGAGCTGCTTCGTACACGAGATAATCCAGATTACAAGGTACTACGGCTTCCTTTGTTATGTATTCTTTTCTGTGAATAAATGTAAGTCAACATAATGGCTCCAACATTATCCATTAGTGAACAAATTGAAAGGCCTTTATATGATATATAATTATTTGTATGCTGGATACCTTTATAAGGCTTAGGAATCCATCTTGCTTGCTCTATTGGCCCCAAAATAGTTTCCCAATGCCTTATTTCAAACTTTGGGCTTATGCTTGCCTTTGTTTCACTTGTGATTCCTTCTTTTGGGCAGTATACCATAGCAATGTTGGGATATGGTCCAGAAGATAAAAGTACTGTTCTGGAGTTGACTTACAATTATGGAGTCACTGAATATGATAAAGGAAACGCTTATGCTCAGGTAAGTAGATGTTCCTCTCCTCTCTGATTCTTCTTTTCTTGGAATCTGTTGAAGAAGTTTTCATTGTTGCAATTATGATATCAAATTTTATTTTGTGTTAACATAAAATGATAAAAATAACTTCAGTTTTCATTTTTTTTTCACCCATTTGAAATGCTTGTTACCTTGTATTTTTGTATCCACACATACCAATTTCATAGATCTAATTTTTTTATACAATCATGGCAATGAGGTTTAAACCTATGACCTTACGCAAACTATCCAAGTTGCCAGTAGCTCAATCTTAGCTGTGTGTTTCATACCTCTAATTTAAAGATAGTTCTTTTGTTAATTTTCTCCCCCCTTTCCCCAGCATCAGTGTAAGTGACTGATGTGAGTCTGCTCTCAAGTCTCTAGATTCTGGAATATTCATGTTAGTTAGTACAGCTATCATAGTTTTGTACAGTTGTTAGATTCTGTTTAGTGAGGAATCCATTGAACTCATGTTTTATCAGAGTGTATAATAAGCTCCACCTCTTGTATTCAACTTTTGAGAAATAACAACATCCTATTTCTCTGAAAACTCTCTCTCTTACTCTCTAATCTATTACTGTAATACCCCTTTACAGATTGCAATAGGCACAGATGATGTGTACAAAACTGCAGAAGCGGTTAAACTAGCTGGAGGAAAGGTTACTCGGGAACCTGGACCATTACCTGGTATCAACACAAAAATTACTGCATGCTTGGATCCTGATGGTTGGAAGACGGTATGTTTCATTGATCTTTATTATTTAACGTCTCCCCAAGGCTTAAGCTGGAAATTGAAAACTCATGAACGGTTTTATATCTAATACATCTCTGCATGCAAGAGCTTGAACCTTGGATGACACAACTCAATTTTCCCTTGTGGATATTCAACGCATACATAAAAGAATGAGGATTACAAGGATCAAACTGTTGATTACTAGGTGATAAAGGCTTTAATACCATATCAAAGATGAACTGATTCGTGTATCTTTGAGATGTTAGATATAAAATCATTCGTGTATCTTTACCCAACAGCTTAAGCCTGAGGTTGGTTCACGTGAAATAACTAGTAAATGTAGTAATATTTTGAGATGGTAGGAAGTATCTTGGTATCAAACTTGATCTTGTGTTAAAACTTCTCCATTTCTCCCTTTTTTTGAACAAATTAATTGGATTTTGTGTTGTGATTGTGATTACCCGTACTTGCTAGCTTAGTTAGAATTCATCCTCTATGATCAGTGCCACAATTTTTGCTAGTGTTCGATATCTTTAGCTTGTGTTGTCTTTTGCGTTCAATTAACATCACAAGAGGTGGAAGGTTTGTTTTCCGTCTGCTTTGGCTTGTGGAGTGACATCTTAATAATTCATGTTGTTTAGAAAAAATTTAGGCTTCAACTGTATAGAGTGTAAGCATGCATTTTTCATCGTGTGTATATATCTTATTTAGTACTACTTTCATTTGTATATTCGGAGATCTAGCTTGTTCATGTTTATTAATTCTTAGTAATCAAGCATTTTTAACTTACTAGTTTTCCCACTTCTAATGTGCAGGTTTTTGTAGATAATGTTGATTTTCTTAAGGAGTTGGAGTAGAGAATTTAGGTAGGTAATCACAGCAATCTTGTAAGATCTGTATCAAAATCTCCGTCAAAGAATCGGTATTCTTTGAAGAAAAATGCTTACATCAGAGAGTGTATCATATTCAAATCCGATTTTGTAGATAATGTAATAATGGCCATTGAAGCAAATATCTTTATCTATATACAATGAAACAAGCTTGAGAAACATGTCTTTTACGTCCATTTTCTTTTCTTTCGCGATTTTGGCTGTAGGGTAGACGTAGTTGTTCACTCTGGATACTTCAGAAGTGTATCATGGAACGTTATTCCTTTACTTATTTTGAGTTTGTTTTTGACACGGGTGTTTGTGGATTAAATTGATCAATTTAGAAAAAATATCCAAATTAAATTAGACCAACTGATATATCCACTTTGATTTCCGCTTGATTTATATGTTCATCAACTGTCATCTGTCTCTACTACCGTCTGTTGACTATCAAGTTTCTTAGCTGATATGTTTGTTAACTATTCCTACTAAGCTTGTTGATTGGAGATCTGTTAGTTAAACAATTAACATTTTGAAGATGACCCATATTCCGATTAATTTTTTTATTTAAGTTCAAGTAAATGACTTATGCGTGTTTGTTTCTCCATTGAGTTTCTTTGAAAAATAATTTTATGACTTCTATAAGTAAATTTTAGTTTGTTTCGATAAGTTTTTTTATATGGTTTATTAAAATAAATTCTTTTTAATTTATTTTAAAAAATTTTATTGTTAAATTTATGCCATAAATTATTATTCAAAAATAATTTATTAAATAGGTAGTATATTTAAATGTATCCTTTAACCTTTATCGGTTAGAGTTGATTTTTTTTTCCCTTTAATAACTACGACTAAGATTTATGCATTGAAAATTGCCTAATTTACGTTAGGCATGTAAAACAAACAAGTTATTAATCAAAATTTTGGATTGAATAAAGAACAAGTTATAAATAATATTTTTATAATATGTAATTAAGTTATAAATAATATTTTTATACTATATAATTAAGTTATTTTTAAAATGTTTCATTGAATTCTTATTTTTTTATAATTAGGGCTAAGAAAATTAAAATAAAAAAATATTTATTAAAAATTATGGGAAAAAGATGTATTTATTATATTTTAAAATACCTTTTTTTTTTTACTTTTATTTCCTTAATCAATCCTTAAGACACTGGTTAACATTTGTTAAATAATATTTTACAAAATCTGAATCTAATAAAAACTTTTAAAATTTCAAAAATTAAAATGTTCAACTTATAAATATTAAAAATTAATTTAAGAATTTAATTTTAAGGACCTCCTAACTATGAGCACTAATTAAGAAATTAATAAGAAAAATTTATTAAATATTTAAAAATATATATTATATTTTAAATTTATAATAAATATTTAAAAAATATTAGCAACATATTTTTTATTAGTGACTAAAATTTATCAAAAGCTAAAAATATAAACATAAATATTAATTTAAAAATAACAAGAAAATAAGAATTACCTAATTTTTGTGTTAAGTGTGTATTGTATTATTCTAAATTTAAAATACTTATATTTGACTAATTTTAAATGATTTTAAATAGTCTGGCTATAATATCTATAAACTTAAAAGAGTATTTCATACTTTATTTTAATTAATAAATATGATTTTTTAATATTTTAAAAATAAGAAAGTATTAACATTTTTTAAATTAAATTACTAATTTTACTGTTTATTAATATATAATTAATAATTAAATTATTTTTTATAAAAAATATACCAAACTCTCTTATTAATGGTCAAAATTATTTTTCGTGTAAGAAAAAATATCAAATCCTCTCGGTGGGTGTAGCTATAATTTTACCGTTTAAATAACATGCGGGAAATAAATTTTGGTAAAAATGTTAAAGAAAAAAATAAATTTTGTGAAAATGCGACTTGAAACGTAGTATTTATCGTTAAGACAGCTCTTAAACCCCAAAGCAAAGCACGGCGGAGGAGAGATTCAATGGGCGAAAATGAAACCCAAAAGCAGAACAACAAAAAGCGGAAGCAAGCTTTCCCTTACGGCAACTACAAGAGTTACTATGGCTATCGCGTAATCTTCCTCTCCCTTCTTTTCATTTTTCTCTGTTAAATTCTCTTTTTTTTGGGGGGTAAAAACTAGTTTCATAGAATGATCTAAAGTTAGGTATATAGAGGATGCATTGCGTTTTATTGAGTTTAACGTCATCCATCTTTCATGTTTTGAATCTGTTTCAGATTGGTCAAGGCGTGGATGAAGATCCTCGCTTGAAAGTGTTGAGGAAGGACTGGTTTGAAGGCAAGGAGTGTCTTGATATTGGTTGCAACAATGGCATTATCACCATTCAGATTGGTATTTTTCTTCTTTTTTCTTCAATACAGTCGTTCAACAAATAATATTCTCCATTTTCCTGTTTCGAAGATTCGCGCTTTAAGTGAACTGTTGGAAGAGCATATAAAAATAATTTATAACTCTCATAAAATTTTTTACTTATTTCAATGATTTTTTTTTATTTAACTTGTCAAAATAAGCTCTTTTCAACTTATTCTAATTAGTTTGGCGATCAAATTTATGTCATAAACCCTCGTACGATTGCCTATTGAATAAGTATAAAATTAAGTGTTACCGCAAATGGGTGTAACTTTGACTGTTGCTGCAAATGAAATAGTTATTTCAGTTTGATGCTCATTGCGGTTATACTTACACCCCGCCCACAGAAGGAACAAGTTCATTTTATGTTAACACAGTTTCATTTGTAAAGATAAAATTTCTATCATGCTGATCTAAATGTTGTCCCTTTATTTTCCCCAACAGCACAGAAATTTTGCTGCCGGAGCATTCTTGGAATTGACATTGATTCTGGTAAGATCTTATCTGTTCTAATTTCTATGGTGAATGGTATTCTTTAAGTTTAAAATGAGCTTTGTTCTGTATGTGTTTCTAATTGTGCAGCCTAAATTTATGCAAAATTACCATACTTCCAATATGTTTATGCTTGAAGTGAAACTATGTTGTTTTCTCCTTTTCTTGTTATCTTTGAAAACAAGAACAAAGTGAAAACAATGTAGCTATTTTTGTAATTATTCATAAAATCAGTCAATTGGAAACAGAAAACATTTCCTTTAGGCCATAAAGTTATGATTTGAATCTTTAGAATGCTTAACAGTCATGTTAATTCAGAGAACTCAAGCTATTAATAAAACCTCCTTGTAGTATTATATATGCAGCATGGGCAAATATGTGTTATACTTCTTTTAGCAAGTAGCTAAGATTTGATAAATCAGCATACAATGAAACACTCAGTTTTTGAAAAATCAAATTTATCATGTATCTCCATAAAAAGGAGGGTGTGAAGTGCTCTGAATTTAGTTTCTGGAGTCCTATTGGATTATTATCAGGAACTTGGTGAAGTTGTTTTGAATTATGCGAATGTCTTTCATAATTTCATTCTTTTAATTGAATGTTAACTCCTCAACATTTGTTCTTCACACTTGACTATAACTTCTTTTAATTGATTTTTTTTCTTCTGGTTAATTTGCTAGATCGAGTTGAGGATGCGCATTGGAATCTCAGGAAGACTGTTAGATTGAAATCTTCTGGGAATAAACATGTGAAGACCTCCGAACTTCAGGACAAGGACCATACAGCCGATTCAGGGAACCGTGCAGTTTTGTCCAATGTTGATACAAAGGAGATTTCAACAGAACATTCTTCTTTGGTGCAGATTGATCTGTTTAATATAGTTTCATTTAAACGAGAAAATTTTGTCCAAAGTCGTCACCCACCAGGAAAGCACTATGATACAATTCTTTGGTAAGGCACCTTTTTTTTTGTTTTTTCCCCTGTTTCACTAAATAAAACATACATTTTGGGATAACACTTTTATAGGGATGAAGGTAGAAATTTGTCATCCCTTATGCCTCATAGGAAAAGTCCTATTCAAATTTTTTGTCTTTCATTTTGTGGTTCTTACTAGTACTTTTTAAAATTGACTTCCTTAGGATAGGTGATTCTTTTGCTATCTATTATAGATGTGGATTGAACCTAACTCAATCTTAAAAGTTAGCTCAAGGGATGAATTGTTTACATCTTATTTGGAATATTTTGACTATATTCTTAACTGATGTGATATATTTTATTTGAACACCCAATTCCGCACTTTCAAGATTGGACATTTGTAATGTGAAGTTTGCATGACTAGACATCCGTAGATAGCCCAACATCAAGATTAGATAGGCTTTGGTACCATATTAAAAATGGATTAGGCATAACTCAATCCCAAAAATTAGGGCAAAAAGGGAGGGTTGCTTAAGTCTTATGAGGAGTATTTTGGCTATATTCCTAACCAATTTAAGACATTTTAACATTATTGAAATGCATTATCTTCATATTATAGTTTTGCCAATGACCAGATATTCTTGAAACTTTATTTTTAAAGCATGAGTGCACTTGCCATTTTATTCACCGATCATTTATATTTTCAATTATTAAGCTGCAGCAAGGAATGAATCCTCACTGTGGCTTGACTTGGATCCTGCTATAAAAATATTATTTGAATAATTTGAATATGCTTATTTTAAATTGTCTTCAACATGCTTGCATATGCTAAAGTAAAATATATCTTCTGCCATGCAGTTTGAGTGTAACAAAGTGGATACATCTAAATTGGGGGGATGATGGCTTGCTTACTTTATTTTCAGAGATTTGGAAACTGCTCCGACCAGTAAGTATTATATCCTTCTACCTCCTCATTATTTTTCTTTGTAATGTTGAAGTCTTGACCTCTGAATATTAGTGTTGCAAATGAAAAAGAAAAAGGCATGATATATTTGGACCTATCTAATGAGAGAAGTGATTTATGGTGAGATAAACATCAGATTAAAATATATGGCTGCAAATGATCTCTTCTAAGCAACCTACCTCCCCCCCTTTTCGATTTATCTTTGTAATCATGGATGTTTTCTTCTTCATCTTCTGAGTAGGGTGGCATTTTGGTGCTGGAACCTCAGCCATGGAAGTCATATGAAAGCAATCGTCATGTCTCAGAGGTAATAATTAGCTGACCTTTACTGCAATTATCTTGTACCCATTCATTTTGTTAATTTCCTACATGGTCTGGAATCATTTTCTGAAATCTTAATCTATGCTGTTTGGAGATTTGCTTATGAAACTTCAAATCTTTGGGCTTATCTAGTTATACAAAAGGTATTTTGCTTTTGCTTTCACTTAGTTTTCTGTTGTTTCTAGTGTTTCCTATACCAACCTTTGAAAAACATTGACAAAGGAAACAGAATGAATGGAAAAAAATAAAAAATAAAATATATATATTCTCACAATAAACAGGCTCTTAGCTTTTATGTTAGTGGAACAACTAATGCATTATCAATTTGCTTAAACTTCAATTATGCTTTTAACTTTCTTATTTCTAGCTAGATTTCTGATAGGAACTAAGTATGTTTGTGGAATTTACACCAAAACCTCAGGGAAACCCCCTGATAGTACAGCAGAAAAATAAGAATAGCAGAAAAGCAATGATGTTTAAAAATGGAAACTTCCCCTAGGCAGCAGCCACCTCCCAATCACTTCCTAGATAATTCCCCCCTCTCTCCTTTGATCAATCTACCTTATATCCCTCCCTCAGCCGCTCTCTCCCTCCTCCACGTCATTCAATTTGTTATTCTGTTAGAATCTTCTCTGACAGTCTCCTTGCTCATAATTCCCTTTTTACCCCTCCTTCTCTGATATGTTTTGAGAAGATGCCCAATTGGTCTGGACCCAACAATTTCACTTAAAATAAGAAAGCAAATATCGAAACATTTTATGATTAAATCATTTTTTTTCTCATTATGCAGACGACTGCTGCCAATTACCGTAGTATTATGATTCGTCCCAATCAATTTCAGGAATTACTACTAGATAAGGTTTGTTTATTGAACATTTCTTTTGACATACTGCTTTCCTTTTTAAAGTTTGTCCAATTGATAACAATTAACTAGCATTCCTATTGCATTGCCTATTTATTATGATTTTATATAGAGTCTAATGGCCGATATTTAACTTATCACAGATTGGATTTAGAACAGTGGAAGATATCACTGCAGGTTTGACAGGTAGCAAGACTGGTTTCAATAGACCAATTTTGGTTTTTCGCAAATGATCTATGCATGAAGTCAGGTGCAGAGTCAATGTTTGTCATTCTATCCATAGAGAAGCAGGTGTTATGTATTTTGAGATCAAGAGTGGTTCTTGTACACAGCAATCTTGCATGCAATGTAGCTACTGTTAACAATGAGGTCTTAATGTGCATAGTAAATAGCAGCAGCGAAGCAAATTTTGAGTTGAAGGGGCTTTAATGTATAGAACGAAAATGCATACTACACCTTTTGTGTATTTTGCGTAGTATATCAGTTTGATTCTCACATAATGTAGGTTATTATAATTAACGATGACCAAGTAATGTATTTGTTTTGCTCATATTTGCAACTTACAGGTACCACAAACTGAAATTGTTTAATTGAATTTTATCTCCAAAATTAAATGTAATTTGTACCCCTTTTGTCACTAATATTCTAATAATGACCAAACGAGTTTACCTATTTCCTGGTAAGAAAAGGATTGTGCCAATTTAGGTGATTTTTGTTTATGCAAGTGATGTGTGCAGTAATATTCAATCTAACCCGACGTTATGCTTTTGAACCTTGTACTATAACAGCATCATTTGGGGAGGATAGATTTTTGGGCAATGGTTTTTGAAAGTTTAGAAGTTTTTTTATTAATATTTAATTTTGTAAAGTGTTATTTATTTTAACTTTTTATCCAAAAATGATAATAAAAAGAAGTAAACAGTGAAATAATTTTTTAGGTAAAGTTAGGGGATTGATGATAAACTTTTAAGAATATCGTTATTAGGTATTGAGATATGAGTTTATAACTAGAAACTAGAAGAAATAGAATTGATTTTCCAGTCTTGACCAATTTCTTTTAGTTCTTGATATCGGTTCCTGGCTCCCCGCTTTATTATTCCCATTACGGTTTTTAATTCGGTCTTAACTGCGTTGTGAAAGCTAATGTTAATGGCTTTTATGGAGCTTTTAAAAGTGAGAGTAACGCCCAATTCGTTTCTGGAATAAATTCGCTAGACTTAAGTTTGTTCTCTATAGATTGCAAATGTTGGACATTTTACCTAATGGATAAAATGGCTTTTATGTTTATAATCTTGAGAGTAAATATGTTTTTTTAAGAATCAAAGTGCTCTCAATATTTTTACATATTCACTCTCTTTTTTTGGTGGACACATTTCTTTTCGGTGGACTTTACAGATTTACCTTTGAACGTATATACACGGGTATCTGAATCGTTGTATGCACTCATTGTGTTCTGTCAGTGTTTGTGCATTTACATGAACGTGCACGTGCGTTTCAGAGAACGGGGAGAGAAGCTTATGAACGTTCAAGGAATGTAATCAAAACAATTGTTTAAACACATTCTTCAATACAATTATCATCATTGGTGAATTTTTTTAAAAAAATAAAGTTATTTTAAAAAAATTAATTTACAAGATTAACTTTTTAAAAATTTGCATCACAAGAAATACGTTAAAAAAAAGAGTTCATAGCATTATTGGATGTGGAATTGGACACTCGTAAGTAATTATAAAGGCAACAGAATATACTCTGGAAAACCCCAAAAGTCAAACAAAGTATTGAGCAACAGTGTACCAACATGGGACCACAGTAACCCCCCAAAAAAGAAAAATGCTTTACTCAAATTTCTAAAACGAGGGTCCAAGTGAATTATGATCATAATTGCCATATTACTTTTACTTTCTACGTTTTCTTCATTTGACCTGACTTGATAACGCTCGTCATTACTCATTATGGCATTTGAGGCCGAGTGCACTGATTCCTCATATATCCACATACACCTTTGTGTTCAATTTTCCTCCTCACTAAGCATCACCAATGGCAGGCACACAAAACTCAAAGATATTGCATCCCTTTTTTGATGAACAAAGGCAATGCAAAAGCAACCTCTACCCCATGTTCTTTACCGTTGAATTCAACGTGCAAAAGCAAAAGAATGCAAGGCCTAACACAGGCAATGCTAATTGCTTTGCACCAAATGAAGCTGAAGCCTCATCTGAATCAGACTCGTGCAGCGAAGAAGGTGGTGATGTATCTGATGAAGCAGCCAGTTTGTATGAGTTGTTGCGCGGTGGAAAAGCAAAGATGAAAATTCAACAGCTAGCTGCAATGGTTGGAGTTGACACCACGGAACCAGGGATTGTGTTAACTGAAGTAGTGAGAGTTCTCAAGCACTTAAAGACAATGAACCAATACTACACAACCGCTTGAATGAGGCAAAGAATTTTAGTTCTTCTCCAATGATATATGGGGTTGACGCTTTTCTTCTTGTTCATAAGTGGCTTACTTGTGTAATACTAATATCTATATATGTTCTTTCTACAAATTATCAGTAAGAGGATTTCTCTTTGGACCATGTTTACTTTCTTTTAATTCGTTAATTTAATCCCAATTAGATAATACGAAAGTCCTTTATCTTTGAATTTTTTTTATGTAAAGGAAATAGCTTGTCATTGATGGAAAACTGTCTTGAATATGTCATTAAGTTTGGGCATGATTGAGAGTTTGGATAAGAAAGAGGAGAAAAAAAAAAAGAAAAAGAATGCTTAAGAGTATGATTAATGGAACCATGATTAAAGTTCAAAGAATAACGTCAGTAATACACTCTTTTTAATATACTTATTTATGAGTTAAAATTTATTCAAAATTATAAAAATAATGTAAGTTTTACTTCTTTTTTTTCATTTTAATTTAATATTTTTTTTATATTTTTATAATTTTTAATAAATTTTGGCCAAGTAACAATGAATGGGTTAAAAATAGTGTGTTAGAGGGTGTATTACTAATATTCTTCAAGTTTTAAACATAAGGAGAGGAAAATATTTTACTGTTACGGATGATCTTAGAGTATGTGAGTGGGCTAGTTTTTACTAGTGTTTCCAATTAAGGGTGTGTCAATTCCATCATTTTGAACTGTTAGTGAAAGCTCAGACATTCGCCAAAGGTTTGTAAACAAAAGATGCTATTGTAGCTGTTCTGAATCCAGTGCTCACAAGAACTGGTTGTATTGTAACTGCCAAGAAAGGGTGTGCAAGTTCTTTGAATGGGTGAAGCCATGAAACTGCAATCATAGAGTCTATGTTAAGGAAGGATTTGGACACACAAGAAGCATTGTTAGAACTGGGGAATGGGACTTTTGTGGAAGGTTATGCTAGGGTTGGGGTTCAACTTCTAAAACAAAAAGGATGCAAACCTTGAATCGTTGTGTATTCATTTTTGCAGCCATGTCATTATTTCTGTTTGTGTGTGTGTTTTTCCAACTCTCAAGTACTAGTGCCTATAATGTCCATTAGTTAATGGACCAAAGTGTGTTATGATGCACAACAGGCATAATAAACAACAACTGACACCAACATTTCATGTGATAATAAGTCTAGTAAATAAGATTCAGATTACCAAACTAAGATCTTGGCGAAGTATACAATAACAAAAAAGAAAAAAAACGAAGAAATCACTGGTATCCTTGTCATATGCTTGCCGAATTACAAAAGTATACCAAGACATACCTTTGATCCAGTTATATATCCACCCAAAATATTAAAGTATTCCAAGACAAAACACTGTCGTTGTTCCCTTTTAAATATTCAGCTACGCATAAGACTCCCAAAAATACACGCACAATAGGCCTTAATTTAGGTTGCAATAACGACATTTGTCACAATATTCTTTCAACTTGACCCATATGAGTTGCATTTGTGACATTGCTTGCGGCATGAACTTGGCCCGTAGTAGCTTTGTTTCTTCCTCCTCGATGTAGAAGTTTCTCGTTTGATCCCCTTAGCTTCATCCTTACTCTAGCTTACATAGACTGCATTTTCCTTTTCTCTCAAGATCTTTGCAACATGGAAAAAAATTACTCTAAAATTATAAGAAATCATTGATTTTATTCTTTAAAATTATAGGCACTATTCAATTTAGTCTTCTTCAAGTTATGAAATAGTTAAAGGATGTAAGATTTTTTTAAAAAATAATTTTAGGACTAAAACTTCTTTATTATAATTTTAAAAACTAAATTAAATGATGCTATAATTTAAAAAACTCAAATGGCCATTTTATTATAATTTTAAGGACTATTTTTCCCCCCAAACTTTTAACAATTAAGTAGATTATCCTTCGGACATGCTATTCGTAAATGATATAGTGTTGATCAAGAATTCGAAAGAAGCAGTTAATGTTAAACATGAGGTATCGAAAGAGACTTTAAAATTTAAGTATTTTTATTTGAGTCATTACAAGAAAAACGTTATTTACAGACGGTCATTACATCCGCCTCTAATACAGATAGCTTTACAAACAGATTTGTGAATTTTTTTTTAAATTTTTTTTTGAAAAATCTGTTTGTATTACAAACGGATAAAAATTTGTCTATAATGGCCGTATATAGTTTGCCCGCCATTTAGCGCGAAATAATATAGATAGGAATTACAAATGAAATTTTCTGTCTGTAATTTAAAAATGGGAGAAAAATTTGAAGCGAGAGTTACAGACAGAAAAATTCGTCTATAAATATTGTTCTTTTGACCAACTTTTCATCTGGCGATTTACAGACGGATTTTTTCGTCTGTAACTAGACTTGACGAATTTATAGATAGAAAAATCTGTCTGTAAATAAACCTTTAAAATGCACCGTTTCATTAAACCATTTATAGACAAATTTTTTTGTTTGTAATGTGTGAAATCCTTAAAACTGCTTGCTCTCTCTCTAGGAACTTCAGTTTTTTTGGCTTTTGCGAGTAATTAAAACATCCTTTTGAAAGATAATTTACATCATTGTGTTCCTGGTACGATACTTTAACTTTTAATAGATTTAATTTTTTTTTATTTTTGATGTATTTTAGAGACTTAAAATTTCTAAGAGAGAATTGTAGAATTGGAGATTGTATGACTGGAAGAAGGGCGTAGATGTCCTTCTCCGAACCTAATTATTGTGTGCTGTAAGATTGTTTGTATTTGCAGAGTTTGTAGAATATGCCTGTTGTGAAGTTATAAAAGGATGTGCTTTAGAACGGTTTAGGATTGTAATATGTATGTTTTTGATGCATTGATTAATAAATTGTTACATAATATATAGATTATGTGTAAAGAAAATTTAGATTTTTATATTAAGTACGTGTAAACAAATGTAAGAAAATATTCATATATTAAGAGATATTCTGCCAAAATTTACATTAGAGATTTGTTGTATTAAGTATAAACAAATATAAGAAAATATTCATATATTAGAGGAGATTTTGCCGAAATTTATATTAAAAATTTGTTATATCAAGTGTAAATAAATATAAGAAAATATTCATATATTAGAATTGATTATATAAAATGATGAAGAAATTAAAGGTGTTAATCACAAAATATAAGTTGGGTGGTTAAAATGAAGAAAAACATAAAAAATTATTTGTTACGATAAAGTTACTAGAACCTATCAAATTAAAAACAAAGTTTTACTGTGTTACAATGCAATTAATTATTTTTTATGAAAGTGAATGCTAAACCTTAAATAAACAACATGAAAAAAAAAGTAAAAGTGACATAAATAAGAATGTTAAAATGAATGAGTGGACATACGAGTAAAAATATAATATAAAATGACAGTATACAAAATAATACGTGAGTAATACCTATAATAAAAAAACTTATCTAAAATAATTTGGTTACATATAAAAAAAACTTTTAGATACACCGTTAAGAAAAGTGAATTGCATGACTCATAGTTTAGAAAAAAGAGATTAAGAGAGACTTAAAAGAATATTAGACAAAATTATTAAAATTATTAAAATCTTTTGATTAATCATATTTTTAAAAATTTAATTTTTGACTTAACACAACACTGTCATGTGATTTATATAATTGACAATTTTTTTTAATTAAGTGGATAAATATCTAAATTTTATAAACTAAAATGATTGATTTTTAATAATTTTAAAATTAAATTGATAAATATCTATAATTTCAAAGGTTAAAGTGATTACTTTCATATTTTGAGACTAAAATTATGTATTATTTTATATTTAATTGTTAGTCTTTCGATTCTTCCCCCAGGCCTCTTTGTTGTGCGTAAGATTACCACGTTCAATTGTTCCCAATGTCGTTGACACCGTTTCATGAAATACTTATAGTATCTCTGTCTGGTTGAGAGTCAAAAGTATTATCGTGCCATAGTTTGGACGTTCAGTCTCAGACATTTGTTCTGAAATTCCAACCTTCAAAGTTCAATCTCACCTGATTTTATCCAAACAATTAATGATTTAAATAATAACTATGTTTCACACGGGATGATTACCCCTCCATGGATGTGAAAGCCGTGCAGTGTTTTACATCATCCTTATATTGAGGGTGACATAAAAGTTGCCGGTAATCTTGTTTATCAATGGAACCCAAAGTATCATCTACCCCAAGAAGGAACCCAAACTTGGCGGTCATGTCTATTGACTTTTAAAATTTTGATCATAGAATCAAAGAAAACAGATATATAGCAACGGAAATGCAACATGTAAATCTTTCCTCTTACACAAAATTGATCACAAAATCCAAGCTCATCGAACTTGAACTTATTTTTACAAGTTTTAAAACACTTGAGGATCGTGAAATAACCTGTCACCTATACAAGGATATGGTATCGTGGGACCTTCAAATTGAAGTTCACAAAAAGACAATTCAATGTTTTGGCTCGACAATCAAAAACAGAAAACCTATATTAGCACAAAAAGCTTTACAAACTTTACTCGTAGGTGACACTTTGCATGCACTAAACACTTAAGTAAAAACAGATCGATTCTTCTATCACTTGTCAGCTGTAGCAGCAGATTAAATCTAAATGATTACATATTTAGGTCAGCACGAGGATTCAAGATTCTTAAGTTGAAGCACTATTCTTGGTAGCTCCCTTTTCTCTTGTAGATGTCAATGACTACTTTCAATAACTAGTGAATTCACATTGACTCAAGCTCAGTGATACTGGTATGGCAGTATCCATATTTCCTTAATGCATTCTCACCCAGACCCAGTGTGTGGTTACGCTGAATTATTCATCAGAAGTAGCAACATCATGAAGTGAAGTCTGTCATATTTCATCCTTCAGACAATATTGATGGGAAAAATAAATCCTGCAAAAGTAAAAAGTATGAGCTGATAATTGAGTACATCCCATTTGCAGGGTTAAATTCATTTACCAGTAACCACAGGAACATGAAATAAAACTAGATTGTACACTTTCATCCCAACTTCTCAAGAATGATGGTACAAATTAACCTGGGCAAGCGTCAAATTTGCACTACCAACAAGTATAGAAGTGCTTCTTGACCATCACAGTTGTATTATCAAAAGAAAATGAAGCCATAAAATGTTGACAAAAATCAAAGACAAACTGACACAGGAAATATCCGATCATTCCAACTACTTATAATTATATCAACTGCTATGCCACACCAATCTTTTAACCACACAAACCTTGATAACTAAGTTGCCACATCCCCCATTTAACACACCAACACATAATCATGCAAGTTTAAAATGGATGGCATGCCACCAAGAACTACGTTTGAAAACTCATAAGAGATCATTATTTCAGTGAACTTTCAGCCATAATGTTTGCTTCTGTATCAGAATAATTTATACTGTTGATAACCTGGTGAATAACAAGAAAGTGCAACTAACCATCATGAAAGGTAAATCATTTCATCTAAACATGTTATGTTGGCAATAAAAATGTAAATTTACTGTCTTTTTTATAGACAGCGAATATAACAAGGTAAAAATAAATGAGAAACAAAGAATATCAAAAACTGTGATCAAAGATATCTACATAAAAGAAACTGAAAATACATTTGCAATTTATAATATTGACAAACAATTTAAAGTTTTAAACTAAATTGTATTGCCACTTATTGTATGGCACAGGGTTAATTATCATCAAGTAGCATATTGGGGTATCGGGGCTACTTCACACATTATCGTTACATGAATACACAAGATTGCAGTATGCCGTATTTGACATCTATGTACAGCACAGGAGCCAAGCCTGAGAAGTCTGTATTTTATACCACACAATTGTTTGTAGTCACCTCAGGAAAGAAGAAGCAACACTAAAGGGCCTCAAAATAGGAGCTATGCAATCCATCAATTTTATAGCACATTTGCAATCTCTGTGAATTGGGCACTTCAATATTCTTGACCAAACACTTGGGGAAAAGATACAAGGAATCTTCTCCATAGGTTCATGACTGGAAATACAACAAAATACAAACGGTCAAGGATAAGTATTACAAAGTAAAGCACACAGTATCACAAGAATGCAGGATAGAAGTTATGGACCAGAAAATTACCATATTTGGCATTCATTTGGCAGAAGGCATGCGCTGCAGAGATGACATCCAGCTACTTGATGGTCCAATTTTACTGCCTTGCCCATGTCCAGAGTTGGAGGCTTCAGCAGAGAAGGCTGGCTTCAAGGAGTTCCTTTTTGAAGCACCAGCAGGGGAATATGAAGTAGAGGGCATATTTGCTTCACCAAAAATCTGCAAAAAAATAATAAAATTGAATAATGCTAGGTAAACAATGACCTATTCAATTTTAGAAAATATAGGGTGCAATTGTAGAACTGTGACTTCAGTGTTGCATTACAGCCACAGCAAGAAAACTGAAAATTTTCAAGATAACTTACATTTTTGTCAAGTGGATTCTCAGAACTTAAATTTCTACTGACTGGTGATTTAAACTGAATTTTAACACCAGAACCAGTAGCATCGCCTGTTCCAAAGCGCTCTTTAACATGCCCTGAATATGCATTATGACTTGCCAATCAGGAAATAAAATTAACATTTATTTAAGTAGAAAAATAAATGCTACTTCATCTATCTTCAAAGACTTCCTAAATTAAGGGTGATACACTGAAAAGGATTCTACCGTGCTGGTTACCAAAACAAATTATTTATATCCCCTTCACGTTGATTTTTTTTATTCTTTTTCGCATCCTACATAAGTATATTTCTTGACAGGAAACACCTAAACATGATATTACTTATTTAAGATGCACCAACCTTGATGGTTGTCAATATCCATTGGCATTGCACGACTGTTACTTGCTCCTGGAACTGGCTGTGATACAACAAAATTAAATATTGTCATGAGCATAGGAAGATTCATGTTGCAAAACAATCAGTAACCCCCCACTCAAAACATATATGAAGAATATGGCCCAAAAATCAAATGTACTTACAGATAAGGGAGGTTGCACTATATTCTTTTGTGATTGCTGGTACTTTAAAATGGTCCAATCAAAAACAAAATCAAATTCATAACCTGACATGCATCAAGATGAAGAGTGTTAGAATATGTGAAAAATATCTAATAGTATCTTATATTATATCTTATCTTAGAATAATTTAGAGCATCTTAGATTATCTCTTGTGATTAGTTTCCATATTTCCTTATTATCTCCTAAGATTGGTTTCTATATCTCCATTACCGCATGATTTGTTTAATTATTTTCTCATATCAAATCAACTCAATATCAATCTCAGTATATTCAGTCTTTTTATCTCCTTTTCCTCCCCCTATACCTAAACCCTATGATTTGAACAAATTTCTTATATTTTTATTTTAAAGAAAAATAATCCCTTCCCCTTGATCTTTCAGAATGATATCTTGTTGAACTTGAATCCTAATGTTTTATTTAAAGACGCTTTTCCAAAAGCAAAACAACACAATTGGAATTTATTTAATTTCATATTATTCAAAATATGAAAAAAAGTTATCACCTTCTCGAGCAAATAAGTCCCTAAAGAGGCGCTTCAAGAATCCATAATCTGGTCGCTGATCAAATGTCAAAGAGTGGCAGTAATGGAAGTACGAAGCAAACTCTACTGGATGTGATTTGCATAGTACCTTGGAAAATAACAAAGAAGTAAGTACATCATTCTGTTTTTTTTTTTTTTTGTGGGGGGGGGGGGGGAGAGGGGGAGGGAGAATCTTCACAAGATTGATAAATGTCCAAACACTTACCTCAATAGGAGTTGATAATTTCTTCTGACATATTTTATCATACTTTTGTTTCTTTGTAGCAGCCTTTAAACCCTGCCAAGGAAGGCTAAACCCAAACATAACCATTTAAATATTAGAACATTTCATTATATCATCTCATTAAATAAAGATTGCAGAAAAAATACTTATAGAGGAAAAGCAGGTAGCAGAATGTTATACCTTCCTCTGAGGAAGTACAGAAGTACATATCCTAGTGATTCCAAATCATCCCGTCGACTTTGCTCTACAAAAAATATAGCAAATGAAAAACAATGAAATTTATTCTGGCTTAATGGGTTAATATCTTCTTCTAACTTACCAATTCCAAGGTGAGTATTGCAACTTGCATAACAATGAAATTTATTCTGGCTTAATGGGTTAATATCTTCTTCTAACTTACCAATTCCAAGGTGAGTATTGCAACTTGCATAACGTGCAGTCCCCGTTAAGTTTTTGTTCTCCCTGTGTGTCTCAATCATTAGCAATATTCCAGGGTACTTGCAGGGGATCAGAAAGATGATACATAAAAAGTAAAGGAATCTTCTATACAAAAATATTAGAACATATTCCTGATAGCTGATTAAGAAATTGGTCAGAATATGAAAATAGTTCGAAATTAGAAAAGTGAAAATTACAAGATATATACACTGAAATAAAAAAAAAAAAGAACTAACTTGATTCTAAAGAAGTACCTGTAAGGGATGTGGCGATTGGTTGTGGAATCCCGATATCGTTTAGCAAGCCCAAAATCAATTATGTAAACCTGACAAGAACAGCAAAATTACGGATATATGGAACCTTAATAAATACCAACAAATAGTTTAAGGACAACTACAACATACTATAAATAAAGGGAAAGAGCAATAACAAGATTGAAGATGGTTACCTGGTTGGCCTTACGACCAAGTCCCATGAGAAAGTTATCGGGCTTAATATCCCTATGTAAAAATCCTTTAGAATGCACATATTCTATTCTAGTTATCTGTCCAAAAGAAGAAAAAAAGAACGAGTTAATACTTAATATCAATTGTAGGACTAAAAGAGAAAAGTGAAGTATGACAAGAAGGATAAGGGAGGGTGTTCAGTTCAGCGCAACATATAGAAAGTCGATAAAGTAAATTTGCAGGCAACGTGATATTTAAATTACATTAGAAAACTGGTAATTCATTCGATACACTTATGATATAAGCATCCACTTTGGTGAATATCCGTGGAAGCACCAACATAAATTTACCCTCAAAAGCAAAGTGGGGTGGTTTACCCCGGCTTACCATTTGATCAGCCAACATTAATACAGTCTTCAATGAAAACTTCCTTCCACAATACACAAAAAGATCCTCAAGACTCGGCCCAAGCAAGTCAAGAACAAGCACGTTATCCTCCCCGTCCACGCCAGACCATTTTATGCTCGGAATGCCACCTGCATTGCAAAAGTTTCACAATATTCAAAATCTTATAATTCACCAACCTCCAGACACCCTCCACCTCCCTATACCAATAACACACACAAAAGAAAGCACAATGAAAAAGCTAAATATTGCAAAATGCATACTTCCTCCTTGAAGAATATAGTAGAGCTTTGCCTCATAAAGCAGTTGCGGATGCTTTGTTTTACTGTTCTCCTGAAAAACCCGAGAGAGAGAGAGAGAGAAAGTCAGTATTATAAAAACGTAAAGTTCAATTTCGGTGGATTAAGAACACAGCTGGCAACAATCTAAACAAGAAGTGTCAATTCATGCATAATACGTAAACTCGCACATGCAACTTCAATCAGACAATCGCAGAGCGTTAGCGAAATAGCACAGAATCAGAAGCAAACATGAAAATCCCAAGCAAATAGCAATACACAGAGACTTACGATCTTGACGGCAACGATCTCGAAGGTATCAATATGCGTAGCTGCAGCAGAACGGGAATTCAAGGACGAACGATCAGAACATAAAAACCTATAATTAGCGGTTAATACGAAATAGATATCAGAAGAAAGACCGAGAAAAGTCACCGAGGTAGATTTCGCCGAAGGATCCACTTCCGATCTTGCGACCGAGCTTGAACTTGGCGCCAACGATGCGTTCCATGTTTGGAAGGTTCGAGAAGCAAGTGAGAGTAGGATTAAGGAATTTAGCGCAGCATGAAAGCAAAGAGAGTGGTTGCTGATTTTGAACACTGAATCGGAAGAGAAATCAAAGGCGCACACACAACAGAGAGAAGAGAAGAGAAGAGAAGAGAAGAGGATGAAGGGTCATATAGAGAAAATGCAGAAAGGAGGCGGGGGTATTTATGTCCTTTGAAGAGTTGTTAGTATGTTCACAAGACTGCCTAGGGGTGTAGCCTTTCTTTCTCTCGTCCCTGTTTGACTATTGTGTCATATGTGGGGTCAACGAACCTCTACCTTAGCATTACCACATCACTGCTTTTTTAATAAAATAATAATATTGGATTCGTTTATAATGGCACATTGCCACGGTGGAAACTCGAGAGAAACGTTTCGGTGAATTATTTCTTTTTAATATTTATCATTTTCTGATTTTTTTAATATTTTGTTTGCCAGTCCTTTTGATGATTTGCATATCACGACGGTTGTACTTCAACTGCTACTTTCATTGCGTAAAAATTAAAGGTATATAGTGTGATTATTTTTAATTTTTTAATAAGTTTAAAATTAAATATTTTATTATTTAAACAAAGCTAAATTAAAGTGATAATTTTTAAAAATTAAATTAATAATAAACATTTAAATTTCAAAATAAAAAATAAAAAATGAATATTCAGTATTAAAAAATTACATAATATTCTAAAGAAAAATACTAACTTTTAAAATAATATTTAAAATCACTTTCGTCTGATCAATTAATTAATTATTTCTCTTCGTGTCTATCAATTATATAATTGATGATTCATAATCGTCTTGCTTTTTCTCGTCAAAGCAATCACTTCTCAGGGAAACTTAATAAAAGAATAAACAAGAGACAATAAAATACCAGCCATGAGATAAATGCCACTTCTAGGGTGAAACAACACGCAAAAAACTAGTTTTAAATATGAGAGAGCTGTCCATCGCAAGATGAATTTGACAACGAGGGGAAAAAAAACATCACACGCTCAAGAGAATGAAATCCAATAGATAATTTCAGGGTGTTTGTAGTTCGGTTTAATTTAATTTCTATTTAAAAACATATTTTTAAAAATAATATTCGACTTGGTCTTGTTTAATTTGAATATAATATTAATTAGATCAAATTAAATTAATATTTTATATTTTAGCTTGAATTGATTTATTTAATTTATTTATAAATAAATAAACTTATGTTTTAATATTTTAGCAACTTATTCTATGACATTCGCGATCACACTCAATTATGGAGTTAAAAGTGTGTATTATTATTCAAGTTTCATATTAAAATTTTTGGAAAAAAATTAGAGACAGAAAAGTTTTAATGAATATATATACAAATCTAATATAATTTTCTCACCACAACAACATATATTATTTTGAATATATTAAAAATTTGGATAGTTATATATTAAAAGAAAATTTACAATTTTATTTATACAAAAATTGTACGAGAGGAATAGCAATTTTCTTCATGCAAACATTGTAAAATAGTAAAATTACATTGTAAATTCGTAAATATATGTAACTAGAATCACGTTAAATTTACATTTTTTTAATGTGTTTACAGGAACAAAGAATGAGAAAATTCTTCACCTCTTTTTATAACAATTAGTATTGGAGATAATGGTGTACAGTGAAACATTAATGAAGAGAAACAGTTAACAATGCAGTGTTTGAAGAAAAAAAGTCTTGCAGATTAATAGATTTTGCAATAAATGAAGGATCAGAAACTTACAATAAAGTGAAGGTATGTGAAATTTTAAATGAACAATAAGAATGTTGGGCTATTTATTATTCATCAAAGTTCTGAATTTTCTCACCACAACTTTTATCTATACAAAAATTTCATGAACATTTTCTTCCTTATTAGATAGAGAAAATATCAAATATCTTCTGATGGTTCCAAAACATTAAGGTTCAGTTAATTTCTCTAGTAGTCCAGTAAAACAGAATAAAATAAAATCAACTATGACCACTAGTTATGAGATATGTTACATAGTCTCGATTCCTGTAAGATTAATTTTAATGGTTTCCAACGTGAAACCAATAAAATCCTAAATGTATTTACTTTTTAATTCCAATTCGTTATTTAAAAAATATTAGTAGGATATAATATTACTCTAAATCCATGGATCTGTATTTTATTTACTTTATATTTAGACCATAATTGATTTTTTATAAAAGAAAATATTATTCAGATTAAAAGAATACACCTACGTGGTTGGACTCCTCTTCTCGCAAAAAAATTATTTTCATATACACAACTCAAAAGTAATATATTTCGCGTAGAAAATCAAACACATATTACCTGAACCAATTATTTACTAACAGGCAAATTTAAATATATTAGTCTATTTAAAGTAATTTTTTTAAATTAATTTAGACTTAAGATTTATATAAGCTAATCTAATCTAACCCATTTTTAACAGTGAGAACGATGAAAAAAATTCGTTTAGTTTTAAGTTTAATAGTTTTTAAAATAATGAATGATGCAAAAATAATTTTCCGAGTTAAGAAATTATGATTTGAACTCTGGATATTAAAAATAACATCTGCAGAGAGCATAATATTTTTATTCTGTCACCGACTATTTATAAATAAATAAAAAAATTATTCATGCATATCAATTTGGCAAGACAAATTTTGTGATGGAGATGACGGGATCTAATTCTAAACATTGTATGCGCTTTCAAAAGGCATATAATCTTCGAAGCTTCGGATTTGATTTTTAATGGGACAGAACATATGACATGCACGGGAAGCACATAACTTCTCTGCACTCTGCAGGTAATTTAAAGAAGACAAAGTAATTTGGATTATAATTTGACTCATAAATAAATTTCTTAACTCTTTTTTGGTATGAGTTGAATCACACAATTTAGAGCCCGTAACCCCGTTGATATACGGAACAAACAATAGTTGACTCATGCCTTTATTAATTCATTTTAAATATGCTCCTCTAAAACAACTTTTTACACGATAATCCATATGATATAAGCAAAATTTAAAAATTATATCTCAACCATCAGCTTCTTTTCCTGGCTAAATTTGAAGTTTGACATTCATAAGTGGTTCCAAAACAGAAAAATCCTTGGTTCAATAATACAAGCGTCAGTTTCAACTAGCGCATTGCGACACATCATTCAAATACCACTAGACATTCAAGGCCACAAGTAAAGTCGAATGCAAAAAATAGGAGACTGGGTCTGAAAAATACATGCATTGATTATGAATAAATGACGTGCACAACCACTCTTAAATATAAACAAACAAATAAAAAAATATCTGTAGTCCCACCAATCATACATTGGTTTTATCAATCATACCTTAGTTTCATTGATCTTGCTCCGCGTAGCCCCAGCTTCTATCATGACTCTTCATCTCAGTGTTGTTTAACTCTTCAAATGCTTAAAAACAGCTCAAGTGCATATTTGCAATATCCACTTCCCAAAGGGAGTAATAAATAATGTTTGGGTACCTATAAAACATTAAGGAACCAGCTAACTATAGGCACACCATTTTGGCAATGATTTCAAAAAATGGCTCTAATACTGACCAATAAACTCCCACGCCAAACTATTTGATAAATCCTAAACCTTACTCGATTTAAATTTATATTTTTAATTGGATTTTTTGTTTTTATAATTTAAACTAATTAATCTGGTAATCAAATATAAAAATGAATTTTTTTTTTCTTGAAAAGTAGAAGAATTCACCGTACAACAGTTTTATAATAGTAATTGAAGACGCAATTAGACCCAAATTTAATGGGTATTCATAAAAATAATATAAAATAAGTATTATTTTTATCTATGAAATAAAATCAAGTTGGCACATAACGCAGGGGTACTTGCTCTAGTTCAAGGGAGGCCAAGATCTTAACTGAGCCCAATCAGCAACTCGCACGAAAAACTCAGCGACTCGAGGGAGAGACGAAAGATGGAGAAGATGATCGCAGTGGGTGTGGTATGGGGCGCCACAAACGCTATGATGCACCGGGGTGCGCTTCTCTGGGAAGAAGCTCTGAAATCCTCTGCAAAGCCACATCCACACTCAACTCTCGCCCAAAAATTCCTCATTTCTCTGGGAAACTGGATGAAGCTTCTCTCCATATGGCAATATTCGATTCCTTTCCTCATCAACCTCTCCGCCTCCGCTACCTTCTTCTACATTCTCTCCGACGCCCCTCTTTCCCTCGCCGTTCCCGTCACCAATGCCACCACTTTCGCCGCTACCGCCATCTTCGCCATTCTCCTCGGCGAACACACCCACCTCCCCCGCGCTTTCTTCGGTACTGCACTTATCGTCCTCGGCCTTTGCTTATGCATCAATTCCTAGCCCTAGCTTTTCCCCAATCTCTATTTTTAAGTTTATTTTTTAAAATTTATTGTGTACTCTGGTTGGTGACGATTATGAGATTCCTATTCCATTCCATTACGTGCCTAGGGTTGATTCACTTTGCAAATTCCTCTATTTTGTTGCATAGCTTGATTTGCTTTGTTACTTGGCTGGCTGTGTGAAATTTTATTATTCCATAAATAAGATAATTCAGCGTTATTCAGTACATAGTGAGCAAGAATGGAATCACCAAGAATGTGACGAACATCAAACAAATGTGAAACTGACATGAAATTAGAAAAACGAAAAACACTTCAGCTTGTGTGCTATTATGCCATGCCTCCAGACCTTATGTTCTAGAACATTCTGGAGGCATGTGTCCGTTGAATCTCTTGGTGTCTGTGCAGTAGTCATAGATCATGTAATTCTTTTTCACCCAATTCAAGTGCTCCATCTGGGTGTGACTGAGCTGCTTGTATCTCGGAGATGTCCACCAATTTGCAGGGACATTGGAGGCACACTGATTAATGCTGATTGCTCCTTTCCACTTGCAAGCCCTTGCTCTGAATCGATGAAATCTGGCTTTGAATGGCGCATTGTGCCAGTCCGTCTTGACGAGCCCGCCTCTGGTTGCCCAGTTGTCCGCGTTCCACAGGCTGGTATAAACCCTCATTCCTTGCTTGTTTGGATATGCAATGCCATCTTGTTCATAGTTTCGAAAAACCCGAATTGGAAGACTATCAACATACCACCTGAGGTATGTTGATATAATGTAATGGATCATACAATTAGATTAGTATAGTTCTTTGTCATGGAACTGAGAAAATGAATAACCTTTTGTTGTGGTAGAATTTATCAACTTACACAATTTCTGTGGGATTCCAGTGAATGGTGTAATTGTGAAAATCAGCAGTTGGGTCAAACCAGAGGTAAAATTGTTGTTCTCTGCTTCCTTTTCCTTGTGTATATATGTTAGTATGGACAGTGTATGGTTGTCCTGTACTGTTGCCTAAGAATTCAAAATCTATCTCATCGTGCTGGCTTCCTGTAGAGGATAACTATACAAATATTGGGTAAGAAGCATTAGCACTTAATTCACTAATGGAAGTCTGATAGATTTGCTTGTTCCGAAGTGCATATTTGGGTTTTTATGAGATGTCTTAGGTCCAGTGAACTTACATAGTAGGCTGTAACTATTCCGGCAGAATTACCAGGTACCAGCTTGATTAGCATTTCAATGCTTCCAAATAAGAATGATCGCTTTGATTGAGCAGCTGATCCTGAAATCCAAAGACAACTCATGTTTCCAGTTTAGCTAATAACAGGTCAATGCATTTTTTTTATTATTTATGTTACAGCAGTTTGTATTATGTTAATTACAAGTCCTGTCTAAAGTGTTCTATGAACATATTAACGTTGATGCTCTGGTATTTAGACATAGAATGTTATCGGTTTAGACCATAGTATCATTCTCCCACTAATATTCAATCGCAACATATTGAAAATCCGATAAAATTGTTATTTTATTTATTATTTCCTATCTCTTGGATGCAAAATTTCTCCCACCTAAAGGACACGAGTCAATTGGAATAAAAATCGATGCATGTTAAGCATAAGTGTTTCACCTGAGGTTTTGTCCAACACAAGATGAAGGTCTTCACCCAGAATTGACGCATGTTGAACACCCCAAGTAAGGTACATGCTCTTGGAAAAGTTGGCATCCACTAGGACGAAATTAGGTACGATTGCACAAATTAGCAAACCTACCAACATTTTTTCAAATTTGGCCATGCTAACTCCTATGGCTATGAACAACCTGTTGTCTTTTGTTTGTCGTTCTATAAAGTTGAGAGCTTGGACGATTTATCTTTGGTTGGTGATGTCTTTATAGAAGTTCCAACGAACAATACGACATTCTTATGATGAACTCGGCGTGATTATCATGCATTAAATTGGTATGAAACTCTGAATATATATTGGCCTGTTCATATGATTTGTCATTTTGATATTATTATTTTTTAGAACGGGGAGCCTACAGAATTTATGTCAGGTTTCATAAATAAGTTGGCTCCCAATAGCGTACAAGTGTTTGAAATCTATTGCGATTCGTTTTGTGTTATTTTAAAAAATATATATATATTTTCCAGCTACCACTGGCTTGTCTATAATTTGAATAATTTTTTTTTCAGAATAAAACGTTATATTAAACTGATGTAATAAATCGGGAGCCAAAATAATTTGAAATACGGATGGTATTTTGATGCGTACGCGGGATTCATGAGAAGCTGGTGGGTGCTTTGTGAAACAAGCCTGAATGCCCGATGTACCTGGAACGCGGGGGAAGCATAATATCGTGTGCAAAAGTAGTAGAATGGGATCATAGCTATCAATATTCAGTAATGGGCTAAGGAGGAAAGATATCAGGAATTTTTTTGTTTTTGTTTTAAAGGAGCCAAGGAGTAACAGTGTCCCTTTGGGGGCGTGCATGTCTGATTTAGGATGATTAATGTTTGGCCTTATAAATTTATGACACATCAGTATATTAAGTTCTAACTAAATGATCAAAACAATCAATATTGATAATCGTGCAGTATACATCAATACCTCCCGATAATGAACATATATGGAAAGCCACATCAAATATTCTATTGGCACTAGTCTAGTTCAACCCTTGACAAATCAGAATTAGATACAACTATGCTTGGGATATCATAAATTTGGCACTCGGATTTAGAGGTTGGAAACCGCTACCGAAGGTATAAATTTGAACGTTGGTATAATTGTTCCATTCATCTTCAAAATCTCCATTAAACTGTTACAACATCCACCCATAATTTGTGCCAAGAGGAGTCCATATTTACCTGAAAAAGAAGCACCAAACCCAAAGCCTCTTTTCGCTGAAGTCATGGCGGCACAACCATCTGGAACCTGTACCTTGCCACCATCCACACTCTCTTCTACCATCACTCAAACTCACATCTATTGCACCATGACCCAGCCTGGTCGAATCCCCAACCCAACACCCACCGTTGTTGGTTACATACCACCATTTCTCAGTGTATCATGCATGCATAGATAAAAAAAAAATATCATAAATCCATCCTAACCGTTTATTTAAAACCACCGGTTGATATTGACGAAGAACATCATGGACCACAATTTGCATAGACGGCACCGTTCATTTGAATTTGTAATTCGGCAAGTAGATTGTACTGTGCAAAAGAGTTCCAACTTCTTTTAAAGATGTTTCTGTTTTTCCCTTGCTTGATCGTACAAATGAAGAATTTCACGATTTTTTTTAAGAATTCAACGAAACAACAAAAAAAGCAAAATATTTAATGCTGAAAAATAGAGCTTGTTTTATTGTATGTGCACCCACATTGCCTTGCCAGGCAATCCACGGTGGACGACAAAGAGCAAGTAGTACCCAGGAGGAGCAATGACACTAGATGGAGGTGCCACCAACCTAACCCTGTAAAACCCTTCAAAATCTGCGACCAAATCCTCAATTCGGAGAAACAAAAGCCTCTGTCCCATTGAAAACCCATGAGTAGTGAAGGGTGGGGAATACATGGACACCTTAATGTCATTCTTGGTCAACCCATCTGCATCTTCCACTGAGAACACCGTCTCAAAGATGCCCCCATAACTCAACTCTTTCTCTGAAACATCCTCATTAATCTGTGGCCTATACTTGTCAAAGTCCGTGTCCAAATAAGGAGGAGAGAAAGCCTCAACTCTAGTCTCAGTTGGGAACTTATCCACGTCCCTATATGTATCATGAGTGTTGCTTCCAGAAACCCAAATTTTGCCACTAGGAAGCACTGCTGAAGTAGAATGGTACATTCTTGCTATTTGGCTTGGTTTGAGCACCTTAAACCTCAACCCCTTAGGCTTCTCAGGGCTATACAACACGGGCGTGTAGTTAGGGCTATCAGCATCCCACCATGCGGCGGTGCCCACTTGTGCACCATTGATGAACAATAGTTGTCCATTGGGGAGAACCAAAGCGTCTCCCATTGTTCTCCCTGAAGGCATTAACTCGGAGTCCCACTCAGGAGATTCATCTGTGATGATCATCCTGTTGTTCATCAACAAATGCAATTAACGAGTTAGAAGTAAATAAAAGGTTTTTATTTATTAATGTATTTTTTTGATAATTAAAACGAAAATTTGTATTACCTGTTGCAATCTTGAAGAGCTGGGAGGAAGATTTTCTTTGTCTCGGCGAAGTAGAAGGCGTCGGGGATGTTGCCGCCGCAAACGATGACTTCGGCGTTGACGGTATCAGCATTAAGATCGATTGGGAGTAGGGCAGACATGCCGGAGGCAGGGTAGTTGCGTGATCCACCGGGTAAGACTGGGAAGGTACGAACGATTTTGTGAGTGTTGGGATTTAGGAGTATAGAGCGATTGTTGGCGAAGATGAAGAGGTTTCCGTCGGTGGAAAGGTGAACAAAAGGGTAGAGATTGTTCTCGTCAAAATCTGAGGTTTCATATAAGAATGGAAAGAAAAAGGGTTTCTGGCTTGATAAACCTTCCATTGGAACAAACTCATAGCTAAAGCTTTTGCGCCCTCCTACCAATATGAAGTCTCCGTTCGGAAGGATTTGTTGAGTCGCATACCTGTTCATAAATTTACGTATTAATTTCATGTACAGTATTTCAAATTAATAAAATTCTGCGATCTTATTATCTCAATGCGAGAGAAATTGAGTGGTTTTAACAAGGATAATGAATCTTATTTTTTTTAAAATGAATTTAATACATAAAATATTGAACAATAAAATAACATTGTTAACATGGCACAAGAAGCAACTCAGCATCTATTCAAGAATAATGTTTAGTAGAATGTGTTTGTTTAAAGAAATTCATAATAGATGTGATAGGTAATGTGATATGATAGTAAACAGATAAAAAAAAATATTTATATTGTTGAGTATATTTATAAAGGGTTAGTTTAAGTTAGTTATAAGTAAATAATTTCATCTAGTAAAATCAAAATATTATATTAAAAGTTATATTAATGTTTTATAAATAAAATTTTATTAATTTACTTTAAATAATTATTTACCCACAGTTAAAATAATTCAGACAAATCCATTCATAAATAAGTAGAAATGGTGTTTGAACAAAGGTAGAAACCGTAGCAACATCCTATGATGTCCTTTGTTTTAAAAGTTTTATTGTAATGTGTAAAAAGAAAGAAAATTATAAAAAAAAAGCGATTTGATAGAAATGAAACTGGTGCTATTAATGGTGCATGTACGTACCATCTGTCTTGTGACAATACGTTGTCGTATTCTCTCCATCCACAATCTTGGCAATTAGGACCCATGAATCTTACGCTTCTCGCTCCGTCTGCAAAACCACCAGCATTCACGAAGGTACCATCAGGTGCAACCCCTCCGCAGGAACACCATGGATCTCCCTCATTTATCTGCATGCCCCCATCATCATAAATTCTTAATTATATATATACCATTTAGAAGGTAGGTGTTAAATGAAAAAAGAAAAATAAAATGATTGTACAAACCTTGATTGGCCTAACTTTGTTTGTCTCAATATCGTATTCCACTACGTGAGCAAAACAATCGAGTTTGTCTTCATTAGTCTTGAAATCTTTGTAGGGAAGGCATGGCACGCCATCTGGTAATCTGATTCTGGACATACGGTACACTTTGGCATCAAAAACGATGATCTTGTTTGTGGACAACAAGTTGATATGCATGGCTGATACCCCTGCATTTTCAGAAATCAATTCCCAATGCCCAGTGGAATATATTTCGAAATCACCCTTGTTTTCTAGAGCAGGTGGATCTACTTGTATGAAGGAAATGTTTTGAGGTGGGTTGAAACTCTTGGGAGCATGAGGTTTTTTGTGCTTATTCTTCTTACTTTTGGCTTCGGCCACGACAGAGAACAAAAGAGTGAGAATGAAAAGAACCTTGTGCAATTGGGACATTTATTATTGTTGGAAATATATAAATGAAATGTTTGATGAGGATTCTTAACGAACGAAGGATTTGAAACCAGACACACCTCCACAGAGGCTTTGCTAAAGCCAATAATCCTGCATGGGTGTGGCTTTCTGGGTGTCTGGTTCTTTAGGATTGAATATTGATTGGTTTTGTCTAATTAGTTTCACATGCAAACATTGGCTTTAATATGTCTTTGGTAGGATGAGTCAAGGCATTTGCCAGAATAGCAATCGCCATGTTTACAGGAGATGCGCTAAAAAACTAACCGTCCTTTCCTTTCACACCAACAAAAATATCCAACTTAATTCTGGCATGCAGATAGTATTAGTAGCTAATGTTTTCAAATATTTCTATGTAACGTGTGTGTACAAAAACTTATATAGACAACTTGTTTAATTTAAATGTTAGTTTGAGAATTCTTACACAAGTCAATTAAGTCTATAAAATTTTAAAAATAATCTGATATTTTACTGAAGAATTTTAAAATATAAACAAATATTCATAATAAAATCATATATTTACAAACAGTTACTTTAATTAAAATATAATATACATAATTATGAAAATATTACATAATTTAATAATTAAATTAATAAAATTTAATAATTATAAGTGAAGTAAATAAAATATATACACACAACCCATCGAGTCAGAATTTTTTACGAGAAAGTAAGAGGAATGAATTTTAATTATTAAATTTTATCATAAATAGTCAAAATTAAAACATATAAACCGTGTAAATATTTTAAAATGTTATATAATCCTTTTTTTAAAGTGATTATGTAATTTGTCAAATTTTGATTATTCATAAATATTTATATAATCTGAATTTATATCTTTCACTCTCACATAAAAATTAACTATTTTTATTAGATAAATAAATAGATAAAAGAAAGATAAAATTATGTTTTACTTAAATTTAGGTTATTTAATGAAAGAATTAAATTAATTTTTTTTAAACTCATCTAAATTTCGAGCCAAATTAGTTAATTAGATAAATAAATATATAATATCTTGTTGAACAAAATGTGTATGGACTACTTTTCAAGAAAACACTTTTTCAGATACCATTTCCCTTCAAAAACTTCCATCACTGTGTTTCCAAAATAGTAACTGAGATGAAAGCACGCTTCAACATGAGCTTCCCGGCGGCTGCTACACAAAGGATTTTAATGTCTACATTAATTTTTTTTATTCTATAATTTTACAAGTGTTTATCATTATAATTGTACTCTATTTTAATTTTAATTCGTATAATTTTATTTCATTTAAATTTTGATCTCTCCGGACTAAATATCAGTTCAAACAATGGTATCTTACACATAACACCCGTGCTTTATGTATCGATCACTAATATTAGAGAACAAACTTAAACTATTAAAATTATAAAATAATTAGAAATGTACTTAAACCTTAAATAAAATATCTATTATTGGAATGAAGATGGAGAGTGTCATAAACAGGAAGATACCCAGCCATTATGATTGTGTTTGTTTTATCTAATGGCATAAATCCACATGAAGTGATTTCTTTTAATTACTAATTTGTCTTGATTACTAATTCTTTTCACTGGTTGACACTAATACAGCTGTTTTTCCATCATTTGCCTTTGGAAGTTGATTCATTGATAGCTTTATTAACGCCGTACATATATATATAGAGTACGGCGAATTGCAAAAATAGCCAACTTTATGTTAGCATTGATTGTTATCTCTATCACCATAAACACCATAAACAAGTATCAAGGACTGATGCATAATCCAGCTCTTCTTGTGCCATTGACAAGACAATTGTCCCCCAAGGCTACCTTGATCTTGTAACTAATCACTCATACATTTAATTTCTTTAACTTCAATTATAAACACTCCAAGAGTGTTAACATTTCTCATTTTTTATTACATCATATGTATTATATGGCTTAAATATAATTTTAGTTTTTTATTTTTATAAAATTTTAATTCTAGTCTAATTTTTTAATTAAACGCTTTTATGAGTTAATAAAAAAAATTAACATATAAAACAAAAAATTTACACAATAATTTTTTAATTATTTTATTAAAAAATTATTTCATTTTAAAAAACTAATTAGTAAAAAATAAAATCAATTTTTTTTTCTAAAAAAGAGTATATCATATTTAAGCTGTATTATAGTTATCATTTTAGCTCTTGTTTTAACATCTCTCTGGAGATAAACACGCCAAAGAAATCTATCTAACATTTTCCTTTTATATAGTCATCTACATGTATCGCTTGGAGTGTTCGACCAAACGGGCATAGCTTTCTTTAAGTCTTTCTCAGTGGCCAGTTTTACTTAATCCATATATATATTCAGATACACGCCTTGAGTCTAGAGAAGAAAAGTATATACTTATGTCGAGTTTGTCTAAGTTAATTATCCCATTTTAATAGGAGGAAAAAAAAACTCATTAACACACTTTTATTAGTATATTTTTAATTATTAATTAAAAATTATAAAATTTTATCAACTAGTTTCCTGAAAAAATTAACCTAAATCAAGAGTGTTTTAAAAAAGTGTGTCAGCGTGTGTTTTTACCATTTCTCTTTAATAGATTAATAAATTAAAATATTATATTAAAATTTATATCAATTCATAAAATCTTACTATTAATTTTATCTAAGTTGAGATTATTTATCCCATTTATGTCAGGACGTTTCTCTCATGAAATTTGCATCAGTTCCTTCCTCTTCGTCCTCGCACAATGCGTCATATATATAGCCTGATAACCAGTAATTAAATTAAAAAAATAATGCCGAGTTCATGAATGAAATAGCTATGTTAACTACTGGAAATGCTAAAATAAAAAGTAATTAAGGACTATAGAGCTACTAATGAAATAGCTATTCAACTTCTCATTTCTTTGAGAATTTATGCAAAAGGGAAGTCTTGCATTAATTTATATGCAGAGTCAGTCTATTTTCCATTACCCAAGATATCATCTCCGGAACTAAAACAAACACATATATGTTGTTTTGTTCATTTTTGTGCTTTTGCAATTCTAAATTGTAAATAAAAAGCATTACATTTCCAATGGCAGATCAAAGAGATAATCTGAGCTCCAAATCTGGTTCTTGAGTGTCACTTGATTCAGAATTGAGACTGATAGAGCCTACGGAACCACTTCTACGCTTCATGGTATCTATGTCTTGCGAGTCCTAGTTATATGGACGGAAAAAGAAAGGCATAATTAATAAGATCAATTTGAATTTACAAATAAACTTTTGGGTGCCAAATACATTTTTATGAGGAGTATCAAGCTAGTTGCACCGCATGTTGAAAAAAATAAAAATCTTACATTTAGGTTTATAAAAGGTCGAGTTATGTTAGGTTGAACAGATGACTGGCTCTCCAAGATGGCGTTGGCTTGTTCCCATCTAGTTAATTTCACGTATCAGCAGGAAATTCATCATGAGTCATGACAATAAAACAAGAGGAGGAAAAATATCCAGCTTTTATGAGCACACTTTTTTTGCTCTCGTCAATGCCAAGGATCTAAATGCGACTAGAAGAGAGTTAAGTACCTTGCTGTATTATTCGTCTGAGAATCTCCATATCTGATGCTTTTTTTCTCATTATCGGATAGACCCATCTGCACTAGCCAACGAGTTTTGTCAAAATTTCAATATATTGGCAACATCTTATGAAAAAAGATTCCGAAAAGAAAAGAAAAAAGGAAATTGCTTCTGCCATCTTGTAACAAATAGATGTAAACTACTATAATGACGAATAAAATGTAACATGATTCCAAAGACAGTTTTGACCCTTCTCATCACTTTCTATAATGATTTTGATCATTATTCAGCTAGCAGAACGCACAGATTCATCCCACTATCTCCTAGGGTTAGTACTTAGTACTACCCTTGATAGTAGTAGAGCAAAACAATAGGCACTTCACTTCAAACTCAACCAAATATAGAGAGGAGAGTTAGTTCAGAATTAAAAGATTGCTAAGGTTGCATATCATGAGTTATAAGACTACAATGGACACAAAAATAACGATCTTGATTTCTTGGAGGCGGTGCAGTTATATATACTAAAGGTTACTTAATTGTAGTGAGAGGTGAAAATATGTGGGGGAAATGTTTACCCATCACAAAGAATGAAAATTAATTGATAATATATATCATACATTTGATTTAAGCAAAAACATAAAAGCAATTGGCATTTAAGAGAAGGCAAAATTACACCTACCGCAATGTTGGGTTGGAAGCCATATGAAGCTGTGTAAGGTGTAGAAGACGAAGAGTAAGCAAAAGATGATGAAGGAACAGATGAATATGCTATTTGCACTCTTGGATCTTCCTGCAGCATGTTGCGTGCGCGACAAAACTCCGTTGAATTTCACAAATTAAAGAAAAAAGATCTTATCTTTCATAGAGAGAAATTAAAGAAGAAAAGAGAGGTTAATTTACGTTGTTGAAATTAGATGGGTAAGGATGAAAGCCATTGGTGATTTGACCATGTAATCTGATTTTCTCCAATTGAGCAACTCCGAGTCCTCTCTGTGGTTGCTTTGGTTTGTCTGGGTTGTTCTTCCTTCCTTTTCTTGATGATGATGATGTTGAAGAATTAGAAGAACCGCTTTCTCTTTCATTACCCATGTTTGGTTCTCCAAAATAACTGCTTCCCATGCTCGTGCTTCTGTAATTTTGATGGAGAGAGAGAGAGAGTTGTGTTTTGCAAATCCCTGAAAGAAGTGGTTTCAATTGCTGAAAAATTGCTGGGAAATTAGAGATCTTGAGTGGTGTTTTTAAACTGCCAACACCTAATGAAGTATGTGTATTGCATCGCTGGATCAGATTGTGTGTAGATTTCGATGTTTATATACACTACATGACTTAGATCTTCTTCTTTGCTTTATCTCTCCTCCTATCCTCTTGGCTCAAGATATTCTTTTATTCTCACAGGTCACACCTTTTAATTTTATTATTACTATTATTGTATTAATAATCATTATATCATTCATTCATTTTTCTATCCTTTTATTATATACTCCTTCTGTCTCATGCCAAATATCATTTAGTATTGATATACATACTTTCATTAAAAGCGTTCAAATTATTATAATATTTAAGTCATAAATAATTATAAAATTAATTTAGTAGTTCATTGAAAAATAAATACGATTATCATTGAAAAGTCAACAATATTTTATTAATTAATATTCTAAAACTATAAATAATTTAAGAAATAAAAAATATTTTAGTGACATGTAATATGAGACTGAGAAAATAAATTAAAAAATAAAAATTCACTTTAATAATCTTTACAACTTTAAAAATAAAAATTTACCTTTAATTAAAAAATACTTTTAACACAGGTAAAAAAACTTAAAAAATATATCTTAATAATGACAATATTTATACAATTATATAATATGTTTTCTTCATATATATTTTTTCTTTCACATTTTTCAATTTTTTAAATCTCTCATTAAATATACACGCATGTGGAATGTATACCAATCATTTTCCATTTCTGAAAGCGATTTGTCCCCATTCGATATATTAAATAAGCTGTGATGATAAACAATGTGTGGCCACGCGCCATATGGTAGGCGGTGTGCATATGTATAACCTTAATTTTTTTTCATATATCAATTTTTAAATTTTTCCTTCATTTTTTATATTATAATATTACTCATCAAATTTGTGTTTTTCTTCTACTTTTATCTTCATCTTTCGTATGTGTACATTACAAATGGTATGAAAAAAATTATTTTCATTTGTTGAAATAATAATATTTGATTCACATTTAAATGTAACAATTAATTTGACGTGACAAAGAACAAAAATGTTATTAAAAATTTTCTTTCCATTAAAAAAAAATTGGTAGTGTATCTTACGCTAAGCATGCAGAGAATGGCTAAAACTTGTACTGTGACTGGAAGCTATTTAATTAACTAATTGTATCTGGTTCTGATTTTTATGATGGTTTTTTAAGGGACTTGTATATGTGATTATTTTAATTACACTGATTGATGTAGATGACAAAGCTTTGAGTGGGTTCCACTTTGCATGTGGTTTCCTAGTTCACGGTCAATTTGTCTCAGCTGATAATACACTAAACTGAGAAGCCACAGCTGTAAATTCCATAAGCAAATCGTGTTTGAATCAAAGATTCCAATTTATTTCATTTTTTAGCCTTGTTGCTAGATCATCTTACAACATTTTGAAATAACTGTTTTAATATTAAATAAATTAAGTAGATAATATCTTTAAAGACATAAAAAAAAAGTTTACTTTTATTAGTATAATTAAAATGTTTTAAGAAGAAAGATTAAAAATATTTAGAATTATCCATTGAAAAAAATGCAGTGCATCCACAAGGAGTAGTTCAATTAGAAATATAAACTAAAATTATGAGAAAAATTAAGATTATACTTAATTAATGTTTTTAATTTAAAGAAAAAATATTTTTTTATGGAGTTACGTTTATGTTATTTATTAGATCTAAAAGCAGTAAGGATAGTAGTTATAGTTAATACATAAGGAAGAATTGACCTAGAGAATTAATATATATGATTATATTAATAATGTGGTTATAATTAAGTGTTGACAGAGGAAATCTAATTGAGCTGTTTCACGCATGATTTGTGGGGCATATTTTATGAGTTGTTTGTGTGGTGGAAAGTGAGAATCCTCCAATTTGTTAGCCAGACATGTGAACCCATTCAAATTACAAGAAACCCCACTAATTAATCCCCACCAAAAGCATGTCATTAGTTACTTAAGCAGAAGACAGACTGTGTACATATATAAAGTGTTAATAGCTTTATATAATCTGGTTTATGCTTCCTTTTCTTTCTCCTACCTCTTCTTCCTTAGTGTGTTTAGTGCATTCTAACTTTTTTAAATTTTTATCGTTTATTTGAGTCAATTTAATGAGAGTGAAATTAATACTACATCAAACACATGTCTATGTAGAGGCAAGAGATCAAGAATATTAAAAGATCATATTAATCACAATGAATTTAAATTAGTGTTTTCTAAACTTTGATTGTACAAGAATTTATATGTTGAGGGAGAATCATGAAATTTAAGGCCAATATAAAAAATAATTTCATAAGAGATGAATCATAGAAATTAAATAATAAAATAAATCTCGTCCAAAATTACTCACTTTTAGTGGCCAAGAAACCAAAATTACTTACACGTGCAATGAAGAGCACTTGAGCATCCAAAAAGTATATTTCTATCAATAAATAAGGCATGGGAAGTTATAATTATATTATATTTTTGGATTGGAGAGAAGAGAACAAGATCTAAAGTGGAAAGGGAGTGAGGCAGAGAAAGGAAATTTATTTATTTATTTATTTATTTTCTTTACTTTTATTCAAATTCTTTCTTTTCTTTCCATTTCATCGTGCCTGGTAAGGGTTTTTTATTTAGCCTGATTTGGATAATGTAATTATAATTTATATGCTTAATTCTTTTTATGATTTGTTTGACCATTCATGATTCTTCAATTAGATGCTCATGCATGTATCAATTAAAAATTGATTAGCATAATTTGTAAGTTTGTGTTAGACACAACAATCTTGGCTAGATACAGAAGCAGAGATCGAAATAGTTGTTGTTCCATTCTTAGAATCGTTTTTCTTTTCTGGAATTGAAAGATGAGGAGTGATATTTAAAGGTAACGCTTTTTTTTATAATAAAAAATCATCGCATTTTAATGTTATATAGAGTGTGTCAAAGTTTAAGTTGTATATTTTGTATTTCCTTACAAAAAAAAGTTGTAATTTGATTTTATAAAATACTTATGCTTTCGAAAGAAGAGTTTTGTCCTACAATTATCTTGAATAAAATTGTTTCTAATCAAGGATACATTTAATCTAGAAAAAAAAAAAAACCTAATAAATTGAACGAGTTGAATTTTTACTTTTTTTTTTACCTTTGTCATTATCAGATCCAAACAATTGAACTCCAATGAAAATAGTTTTTTTCATGGTAGATTTTCTTGCTTGTTTGTTATATAAAAAATTGTTTATTTTTCTATTAATAGATTTAACAAATTTTAATAGTACTTCACTTATTTAATATTTATTAAAATAAAAATAAAAAACTTTTACATTATGATTTTATGTAAAAAATTAATATAAGACAATTCGTTTTCAAATTTTTGATAAACTTCGGCTTAATTAGTAATTTGACTACCCAAAAAGTAAATCAAATGTATATATTACCACATGAGATGTGATTCTCTTTCATAAAACCAAAATATCTTCTGTACATAATTTTTTTTGTAAACACTTTCCTTATTAGTATATATTCAATCCATTTCTTAACTACTAATAAAATCACACCGGTTAATAATTAGTATTTTTTTATTTTTAGTAAAAATGAACATTTTTTAGCACTTCTTTTTGCTGTCAAAACTACTAATAGAATTATGAACTTAATTATACGACTTAGAGTTTTTATATCTTAGGTCCTTAATTAGTATTTGAAATTAATTATTAAAAAATCTTTATAATTTCATATGAATAAAGCTTATCGTTTTCAGATTATTTTTAATATTAAGCACACTGTTTTATGTATTTATAAAGAAGAAATTGCATTTGTATAATTTTGTGTATCATAAAAGGAGAGAAGTGTGTGATGAAATAATTGATTTGAACCAAATATATATATATATATATATATAAAAGGTGTTATTAAAAGAATATTACATATGTGTTAATTGATCTTTGGAAATAAGGAAATCTAGTTTTATTTGTTTATTTATTTTATATTATGATCATTGTAATTAATTTAAATATTTATCTATTAAATGATATTAAATAAACATTTGATTTAATTATTTATTCAAAATACATTTATGGGTTTAAATGAAATTGGCTATACAATAATATTAAATATAATATATAATCAATTTAAATAATATATTTAAATCTTATCTTAATTAAATATAAACAAATACCCTCAAGTGGAACAGCAAAATATGCCGTTACCTTTAAATAATCAAAATTATAATGAGACTGTTTAAAAATCATAAAATAAACAATAAAATAAATACCTTGAATAATAATATTAGAGTATAACTAGACAATCTATTATTTTCAAGTAAAATAAATTATTGTTGAGAAATTAATATATTTTTAGGTAAATCATTTCCATATATTTATTTTTGTAAATTAAATATATATATTTTTATTTAAAATTTGTATTCCTATGTGAGATGTTAATTTACTTTTAAAAGAGTTTCAAATTCAATGTAATACAAATACTAACTTTGAATATTAAATTACTTTTTTTAATATAAAATTTATATATATATATATAGACAGAATCTTTTTACACTACGCACTAGTATAAATATAAAAACTTTTATATTTAATTTAAATTTTTTATTTAACGAATTATAATTTATTACTTCACTGTTCATTAGATATAAGTTAAATGAAAAGTTTAAATTTAGTGTAAGAACTTTTAGACTTATACCAGTATAATATATATAACTTTTTATTAGTTATACAAATTTTTAATGGTGAAATTAATAAAATACAGATTTGTGGACACATGCAGTCTTCCAGGTGCATTATTCCACACGATTCGCAAGCAAAACGATCCCATGGAAAACGCTGTGTACTAATAAATAGAAGCCAAACAAAAGCTCTCATTCCAAATCCACACAAAATCGCTACAATCTCATATTATATTAGATTCTCGATTTCTCTTTTTCAAAATAATATCATTCAGATACATTACACACACGGGGACTTGAGCCTACCTCTCGTAATGGTTAAGACTTGAGAATATTGAAGAGGTTTGGGCACAGAATGCAGCTCCTTCTGTCACAAAACTTTTGCACTTCGAAATAAAAAAGCTATGAAAACAGAATCTTCTAAGTTTCTTTACAAGAT